CTGTATTCTACACCCCTAGCCATCGGCAGAACTGTAGCTATTTCGGCCCGGTCAACTGTATGCCGCTAGAATGTAATTCAATTAGTAATTACATTGATTTTTTTCCTGATTCATTAGATCAGGTGAAAGTTTATATTACTTAGAACTTTTTGTTAGCCTATATATATATATATTTTAATGCATTCTAAACTATACCTTTGTAACGATGGCTTTTGCCTGTCATATTATTAGCAATAATAATATTGTGCATGACAATATTCCAATATTACTTATATACTTCCAATCCAAACTTATGAAGTCTAACATGTCGGACAGCACCCTGGTCTGGGCACGCATTATAAATATAATATTATAGTAATTACAGGAGAGAGAGTGACTAATTAGTTGACATCTTACTATCTACGCGCTAATATCTTATTTAATAATTACCCACTAATTATTTGTCACCTTTTTATATTTTTTGTGCGTGTCACTCCACCTGTTTTATCTCAGGATTGCCACGGACCAGGTAACAGGTGTAAAACCTTTATATATATTTATACATATTGTTTTTTTTAGTCATTTTAATATTTTAATCAATAAATTAATTCTTACTCGGCGTTAAGCTTTTTTAATAAATAATATTGTACGTTTCAGTTTAATAATTTAGTAAATCCACTTAAAGGTACGACCGGCCCTTTTGCTCTTCGGGCGGTTGGTTATATAAACGTATAAAAAGTCTCTAGGGATATTTTAGGGTAGATACAGAGTAGCTTCCTGTCTCGGCTAGGGTCCCTTAATTTAGCCCTAGAAGGCGGACAGTCGTGGGTGTGATCCACTCAACGCACTGCACCGTAACACCTTACATCTCCCTAGGTATTTTTTCTGTATACATTTAAGTTTTTATTGATGATTTGTTTTAGTCAATTACTTTGTTAAATTATAATATTATACTTTATGTATAACTCTATGCCCATTTGGTGTATCAACAGATTTGATAGGTGTTAAAACAGAAAAGTGTCAAAATATGATTCCAGACCAGATTACGGAAAGCAATTTTTTTTTTTACTAGTCTTGCTCGAATTAGCCCCTCCTTTTTGTAATATTTCTAGTTCCGGGTTCAGACACAATTATTAAAAAACAAATTTAACATTATTCTGAATCAAAACCATTCCAGCTGCGCATTGTAGTTAATAGCCATCCGACGATCGTCGGTTGTCGCGAGTAGTCTTCCAATTACACAACTATTGTGGCACATAGATACCTTGAAACGTTTATAAAATTGATGGAAAAAAATCCATCGTCCATGGTTATGACATTTAATGGGAAATTCAAAGAATGCAGATTGATTTTCTCTGATCAAACCCCGGTTCGGGGTCAATGTTAGTTGATGTGAGTACCCTCTCTCGTTGTTATAGAAACTCGCCTCAAAGGAATTCTATTGTAAGGAGATTTTTAAGATTTTAAAAACATTTTCTTGACTTCCTGAAAACATTGACTATGAAGTTTTTGGCACGCGTATACCCGGAAAATATAACTTGCACAATTCTAATGTTTTACTAAAGAAAAATATACTTCACCGATACATTAATCAGTCATTATAAGATATAACAATTTTACTTACTCAAGTCGACAAGTCGTCTATTGTTCGATTGATAAATAAAATACAATATTAATAAATACATTCGAACATGATTTGGGTCGCTAGTTAACGTAATACACATACTATAATTTCGATTGGAGCACTTGGAGAAACAAATGAAATTACTTAATTAATTTAATGAATAATAAAAAACTAAGTACATAGATATACCAAGGCTCACAAAGTATACCGACAAAGTACATATCTATCAAGGTGGATTTGTAAAATATTTGTCATTTTTTGTGAAAGTATACTGATATGTTTTAAAATAGGTAGTGTCACACAAAGTTGGAAAATTGTCCGAGTGCTTATATTATCAAGGTATGGTTGCTAATATGGAAGTTAATATTTCAAAATACATCTTGCTGATAATAGGTGAAAATAAGTAGTTTTTATTTTGACGATGGTCTAAAAATAATATGTTCTCTTCCTTTTCTCAGTATACAATATAAAATCAATTTTCGGTTCAGTTTTAAATTGCTGGTATCATAATTTACAAGGAATATATATTTTACACTATTTATAGGAAACATTTTAGAATTTTAGTAGGTATCAATTATAACTTAAATTGTATTTCCCCTAATGTTGGAAAAAGTGACTTGCGGAGTGTCCATCGCAGAAATCCACCTTGATTCATGACTTATGTTTAATCAACAACGTGTGGTTGTGCAACTTTATGTAGATTTAGGTTGTACATGACCAACTTAAAATATTTAAGACGCTAATAACTAGTAAGTATGAAAAAAAGAAAAATACATTTTTAAAAAAATAACAAAAATTTACCTTTTATATTTAATTTGGTCATAGACAATATTAACATGTCAATAACAACAGTTATTTAAAATGATAATTCAATAAAAACAAAAAACTAAAACAATAAGCAAATAAAAATACAAAAAAAAAATAATACTGGAAAAAATAACAATAATAATAATACCGAAATTGAAAAAATTATACAAAAAAATTCAGAATAACACAGAGGAAGTGTCTCGCTGCTATATGCAAGGCCCCCATACACGATCAATAATATTGATCAATATTTGATATTGGCAATAATATTGATCGTGTATTGAAGGATTGATCAATGTATTGAACAAATTAAAAATGCCACTGCGTCACCGTCTTTCTTACATGTCCGTCACGATGAAATCAATCTTGGGTTTTGCTCGGATCTGGAAACAACCATATACTTAAATAAGATTGAAAAATTTCGGCCGAGGGGTTGATAAAAAACGAGCAAACAATTACAGCAGCAGCAGAAAACATGTCGACCGGCTACTCTTTTTTTCGAACGTTGCCAGAATCTTAGCTACTGGTCGACTCGATTTTCAAAGATTTCCTTGTTTTCTGGCAGACGGACCTATTTGGCCGTAACCAGCGGTACTTGATCCTCGTGATTATCATTTTCTTCAAATCCTCTGCGTTAGGCACCTGTAGTTCCGCAAAGAGGAATCGAACACTCTCCGAGCCAACAGTATCGATTTCTGTTTTTTTTTGTTTCAGTATGAAACAAAAAAACTGATATAATTACACGTTGGTTTTGCCGAAAATAAAATCAAATAACTTGCAAAAATAGACATGTCAATTATTCATCCAACACGTAAACGTATATTTTAAATTCATAAAAAATGATTGTGCTCTTCTACCCTAACCTAACCTTTTAACTAAAATTACTTTCACTCGTAGAAAAAATGTAAACGTTAAAAATAATACCCTCAAGCTTATACGAATTAATCTGCAATTAGATTTGCACGGTCGAAACTAATAAAACCATTTTTTTTTAATATTACAACTTAATTAAATATCATATAAATAGTTATAAAAGTTTAAACATACCTTCAGATTGGTTGCATAGTACTTTTTCAAAAACCGTCGTTTTTTAAATGTCTATCGTCTGGGTAAACATAATTCTTTTGATCGCCCCTTTGAAAACGCTAAATAAAAATACATTTCTGAAAAAATCGCCGAACTTTATTAAGAAAAAACAAATTGTTTGGGTTGCCGTAAAAGTAATTTTTGTTGATTTATCGTCCGGTCGATTTTGATTTTTCAGTTACTAAGCAACTTACAAACCATGTGCGACGAACAAATATTGTTATTATTGCCGGTACATTATTAATATTTTTAGCCAATACAAATAAAAAAAACGTAATAGCCTAACCAAACAATAATACATGTTTTTTTAACAAAAAAAAATATATATATATGATGAAATAAAAATATAAAACAAACATCGTTATTATAAATTAATAATCAAACAAATACAATAATATGTATTCTATTAAGGTTTATTATTAAAAGGAATTAAAACCTCATTAAATTTTCGACAAACCGCTGTGATTGACGGAGAAAAATGTATTTGAAAGAATAATCAATAATTAAAAACAAAACTTCTCGCTAGTGTAATTATTAAAATATGATATAAACTTTTTTTCGCTTATACACAGAGACAACAAAGGGGTTCAAATAAAAATGTCAAAAAATCTATACAACGACTGCTCGCTACTATAGGTACTCGATAGAGTTCAACATATTTTATCAGGTAAAACTGTTAGGTACAGAAAATATCATTTATTTTAGCTTTGTGGGTTATCTCACTACACTGCCTATAAGTGCATTGTTCTTGCAATAATGTGCTTGAAATAGTATTTTTAGAACGATATTATTAGGTTTAAAGGAATCACCGACAAGAACGACAGACAACACAAACAGAAAACGAAGAATATGCATAAATATTTTTTAAATAATTTTCTACTTTCAATTTTTTCCATATCTACATTCTGAATAATTTTAACATTATTTAGTGGAATTTTTGTAAAATTTATGAAATTTAAATACTCTCTGGAAAATCATTATATTCTTTAAAAAAGTTACTCGAATCTAATTATATCAGTTGATTGAAATAATGAATGAGATTTCATTTTCTTGTCTTAAATTGTAATGTTTTCCCAATTTACGTTTCGATTGATTTTTTTATAATTTTTTCAGTTTGAAAATACAGAATAACTTTTCTTTTTAAAATACTTGGGAACTGCATTCAGTTTGAAATGTCCTTAAAGCTATATCTTATTGATCATTTTATAGATATAAAGTGATCAATAAATATATGTATTCAAACACACACATCGTACCACAATCATTATCGATAGACAGAGTACTGTTCCAAAACCAAAAAATATACATAACTTCAGTAATTTTATCATAGGTTTAAGTGATAGGATTTCTAATGATGTGAGAAAATGAAATGAATACAATAATTGGAAACTTTTTGTTTAGGAATAGATGACGTAAACAATAATGATACAACATATTTTAGAGTTAATATATTATATGAGTAAAAATAAATGTAAATTTTAAATAATAATATTCTAATTTGTATTATAACTACATAAATATATGTTAACACACAAAATTGTGGGATACTGTTAAGTGGTTAATTACAAACAAAAATACTTTAAATTTAGACATTTTTAGGGTAAATACAATATTAGTTTCAGCAGTAAGGGCTAAGGCCAAGTATTCTGTACAACTATTTACAGTAGCTTAATCAAAATTTTAAAGAAACTATTAATTTTGGTCATATTTTATATGAAAATTAAAAAAAATATAGTTTAAACATATCTGAAATTGTCGTTTAGTTTTAATTATTTATTTTGTTGCAACCAATTAAATCCAGATATAATTTTAAAATGTTAACATAAAAATTACGCTATGTAGCAGACTTAATGCAAAATCACAATGTTTTAGGTAGTTCTTAAAAATAATACACAATGTTTATGTAACATTGCACACAAAATATACAAAAAGAAGCAATAGAAAAAGGAATAATATAAAACAAATAAAAGTTATATTATATAATAATCTACTTATGATAAATATCATTTTTCGATTAACACTATAAATTTTGTTTTGTAAACATAAGTAGAGAGAAATTATTGGAGAACGCTTAGAATTCACGATCAGGCAACACTATCGGTGCTACGAGTGTCCAAACATACAAGCTAGCGCAAATCCAACAGGATAACATTTTTGTCCAAGTAGATGCATGGTCCGGGTGTAGTTTGTCCAAACTGGAGTTTGGTCTGAAACAAAAATACCAAATTTCTAAAATAGTAATTAATAATATAACATATCGACTTTTGTTTATTATACTTACGAATACCAGTTGGTGAGCGTCATCATTAAATACAACGTGGCCATGGCAAATGTAAAATGATAGAAAGACCACGAATAAGCTACTGCTTCTTTTTCGTCGTCAAACAGTTTACCTGAATTATCGTTGTTATCTCCCTGACCTCCTTCGAGATCACTTTCGTTCCCTACTTTTAATATACTTACTTTTATTAAAAACATCATTATATCAAATTTTAACAGTATTATAAATAAATAAAAAAAACTTTTTATTTTATTATCAGATTGAAATTTTAAAAAATACTAACTTCTTTCTGTGGAAGTACTCATAGAGAACTTGGACGACGATCCGGTTTTGATGGCCGAGTACAAAACGAATAGAACAAAAATGGCAATACTAACTAAGTTTTCTGAACCGAAATGAATTTTTGAGGAATTTGGATCTGAATTGTTGAATATTTTCGACAAACTTTGGTTGCATTCATTTTCTAAACAATTTTTATTTTTGAATTAGCTTACTTAGTCGAAATTTTTTCAACAAATAAAAATACCTGGACCACTGCTGAGTGCTGACCATGTAAGGTAAACTACGTACAGACTGACGATGGACGATTGTAACAAACCGGATTTTTCGTGTACACGTTGCACGCAAGAAGTAATTGAAACTGAACTCATAATGAAACAAATCACGACTGTCAAAGTGATAAAAAACTTGTTTAATCCGCATCCATCACCCTACAAACATAATATTCAGTCGTTATTATTTGTTTGTCAGACACCTTTTCTACCCAGACTTTGTTTTTCAATTGACAGAGCTTTATATTATGTTAATAACAAATATGCAATAAAAGAAAACGACTTTACAATTGAATCAGTCATTTCAAAAAACGACATAAGTCACAAAATTGAAATTTTACACTAGCCACAATAAACTTCATAACTAGTTTTTGCAGAGATTTTAATTTCTTGTACTCAACATTTGTATTAAATATGAGTCTGACAAATTGAGTTTACACACAGAATACGTAACTAAGTATATAATTATCAATTTTGACATAAAGTCATTTTTGAAAAATCTGTGATTTATGTCGTTTTTGAAATGACCGATTCAATTAAAATGTAAATTTAATCGTAATAAAACTTAGTTTTCAAATAATTCAAATTAAAAAACAAGTAGAGTCAGCTTAAATGAACACGTTGTTATTTGCAGTATTATAACTAAATATGTTTACCTGAGTAAAACTATGGTACATCACAATAACACCCGCAAATGCTAGTACATAGCACAAAATTGTCGTCAACAATAATGCAAAATACCTAAAATAAACGGAATAATAATATTAAAAACAACTTTCTAATATTTATTATGTTGTTTGAGTACGAATATGAAGTCACAAACCATTTTTTGCTTTCAGTTTGTTCCCAATTGTCGAGCCATGATTCGGCTAAAGAGTGTGCGGAATCCAAAACTTGAACAAATTGAAGAACTAGATAAATAAAACCTCCAATCATACCACAGATCATCCAGATATGACTAAAACCTTCAGGGGCTATGAAAAATGAGCCCACAATACCAGCAATCACAATAAGGTATTTAATACCCCAAAAGCTAAAAAAAAAATGACAGTATTAAAATATTTTTATATTTTAGTTGGATAGTAATGGATTTTTAGATACCCGTTTTGAATAGGTGTTCGTCTATCTCTAGAATCTTTTACGCCCATCATAAGAAGTGCCATTAACGAGAAGAATATAAACATGGCGAAACATATTCTATACACGGCCATGTAACCAACGGCATTTTTACAATCAATTGAAACGCCCGATAAGTTATTGACGATTTTTCCAGCAATGTTCGAGGAATTCGGGTCACTTTCACAGAACGGAACCTGTGAATAAATTTAGTTAACATAGTTGTTTTTTAAGCTGTTTATACTGTAAATAAAACATTACCTTTTGTAAAAATGACTGCAATCCTGGTGCAAGCGTGATGCAGCTCAGCACTACAGCTACCAACAGCATAAGACCGTACATTACTTTAGTAGACGTGGAATTGCCACACGATGGACAGCAAGCAAACAAAGAGCATGCTGCTTGGCCGCAACAACATGCTAGCTGTAAGGAAAATAATATTATCAAAATAAATACTTTTAACTTTTAGATGTAAATTATGGTGTTCAATACAATGGTATAATAATTTCCATAAAAAATATTTACACCAAATCAGTGATGAATTGTCATAGCAGACAATGACTATTCAGTATTATTTAATTTAAATAACAAATATTTATACACAAATTTGATGTGCAATATTTTTTTTAATCATCTCTTTGACTATAAGACTGACACTTTGCTTCTGTACAAAATAATAGGTCTGAGGAACGGTCAATTTATTAACCGCTTAAGTTTAATGAATCATTTTTTTTTTCAAACCAATGTTTAACAATTGGATTTTTACCGAATGTTGGTAATATCGTTAATATTGGTTCATCCTTACTTATTGGATAATTCATCATCAGATCACAGATCAGGTTCAGAAAAATATTGGGAGTAATGTTATAGACTCATTACAAAAATCATCTCATTACTTTCTATAATTGTCTATATAAATTGAAAGTAAACTACGGTTGCATGAGAAACTTTTATTAACCCCATTCAAAAATAAATGACCTAGATTAATTTTTTTTCTTTGGAAATTTATAGTTTTGGTATACTTGAATATTTAAAGATGATTTTGTTCCAGTTACACTTACAGCTAAGTTACCGGTGTTTTTAGATTACGGAATAAAGTAACAATATGAAACGAATAAAAAATGTGTTGTAGCCTGTAATAAAATTATGACTCGTATTTATAAAGTTTAACAAATCTTAGAATACAGTTTAATTTGTAAAGTATGCACACCATATCATTTAAACATGACATTCGTGAAGAGTAAAACAATTCAATCCACCGAAAACGACCAATAATAGGTTTAGTAAAAAAATGTGTTTTTTCTTACAAAAATAAACAAATGTACTTATAATTTACTATTGTATTATAACTAATCAGTCATGGCGGGTTTTGTTTTTATGGAAACGTCATACCGAGAATAATAATTTTGTTTAATGAAGATATTATTTTCGCCAGGTACTTACCTGGCCTACTGTGCACAACGACAGCAAAGCTCCCATTTTAAATGCAACTACTTAAACGCGAATAGGAACAACAATAGATTTGAATTTTTATAAAAGCGTTTCACGTTTTTATTACTTTTGTTTCATAACAAAATGGCTACAGGCTATAATATTTTATTATTTAGCCTTTGTTATGACTTATGTAGATTTATTATTATTGATTCAACTCCACTGTCAGACGTAGTAGATAAACAATAGGTAGATAAGCTACCCGCAGTCAGCTGTTCTAAATGTACCATCCACGGCCTTGGAAGACAAAGTCGGTCAACTCCATGGTTTCAGTTGCGGAACACACCACTTTAGCGCTGCTATATAGTGTATATAGGTTTGTGAGGTTATGTTTAAATATAATATGATATATTGTTATAATACCACAGGATACTGGGGATAGACCATAATTTAAATATACCAGGTTATTGCATTTCTACTTCCTAGTTCCTCTTCATCGAAATTTTCAATTATAAAAATAAAATGGCCGCGTAAGGGTCAGGGTATTATGTATATTATGTTTATCAAAAAAAAAAAAACAATTATATACCCATGGCTGAAACAGAATAAATGAAATTTAAATTTCAGAATAAATTTCATTTATTTTGTGGTTGAAATATACAGGTTATTGCACACCGTCTCGAATTGTTATCTTAAGAAAAAAATGGCACCGAAACGGGTTATAAATTTTACTATATTACACTTTACTATACTCTATTCAGAATAAGCAGAGTATACTACTATATACATTTTACCGTGTACTTACTCATATTTAAATAAAAACCAGAGTAACTTTGTGGGAAATAGGTATTATAATTTTTAATAAAACCCAATCCACAAACATAATAGGTTTAAGCATATACGTATTTCGACAACTATGTCTAAATTAACTATATCTAACATCATCGTATTACTTTTGTGGATTGGGTTTTTCAAAAAATTATAATGAGTACCTACCATATTGTTTGATATCACAGCTGTAAGATGGACTTACAACTCGCATAATACTAATTAAATGATCATAAGTGTATATATATATATATATATATATATATGTAAATCGTGTGCACCGGTGCATATTTCTAGAGATAGCGAATTCTCTTATTTATTCCACTGAACAATGTATAGTTACTTTGTACGTCGAAAGACTTTTGAAAGTTTAATATAATTATAATATATAATACACCTGTAGGTATTTAAACGATTATTGTACTAGCGTACAGTCGAAATGATTAATGCGATTATCGGTCAAACTGACACAAATAATTATAACGCTAAATAAATATTTTCAATATAATAAATAGGAATCTGGTAAACTAAGCTAAACAAATAGGTACGTAAACGTTGTACCATTGGTTATAAATAATTTTATTACAATATTAATTAGTTATAATACTAATATTGATTTTAATACCAATTGTATTAATATTCAATGGTTTTGCGTTTCGTTTATTAATTAAAAATGTAGGTCGTATTTTCCAAATTATAACACAAATTTAAGGTGTACAAACATGTTTTGATTACAATGGTATTACCCATTTATGGTCGACAACAATAAAAAAAACCAAATTGCCGAATCCGTAAATGCGCCTCAATTCTTCGCATTTTTTTTTTAATTTTACCAATTACAATATTTTTTTAAGGAATAATTAATAGTTAATACATTTTTACTAGACCAAAACTTAAATTCAGCTATACAACGCCCTATGCAACTCGACACAGCTCAACATTAAAATATTTACACTTCTTAATAATAAGACAAATAATTTGTCTTGGACAGTTAATCAACTGTCAAGGAACCTTGGTCTATGGGAAAAGTTGTAAATAATTATTTGTGATTCGGTCTCACACTTTTGTTCATAGATTGCGAAAAAAAATCTATTGAATCGCCGTAAAACCTCAAAGCAGTATATTTTTTTAATAGACCGCTGTTTATTTGAATAGACCTACTTGATATTTTATTATTGTCTTTACCTAACCGATAGTTTATAATTTTTTTTTGTCAGTCGTGAGCCCTCTTCGGTAGACGCCAGACGGTATATTATTTTAATAGTATCGCAGAATAGATTAAATTCAATTCAAATTTAACATAATTAAATTTAATCTATTCTGTGATAGTATCATTGTTTATCATCAATATTATCAACAACACATGAGATAAGCGGCATTCGGTAGTTGTCGGCACAGGCTAACAGGTCGTACGTGAGCGGTATGTAATTTTGTAACAAACAAGAGAAGATATTATTTATTATTACTTTATTATTATGCTCGACGTTACATTCAAATCATGTACAGACTTCCTTTAGGTGACGCACTCGGTACTTATCGCACTACGCTGATGTCTGTGCCGCACTCATGAACCATTTCTAATCACAGGAAATAATATTATATATTATAATATTGTCGGCGATTCAGTCTAGTCTTATTGATCGGCGTTGTTCGCCATGTCCAACGACCGAGTAATAATTTTAGGAGGTACGGAATTTTTCAACCAACAATTAATTCTAAAAAATAAGTCGGATTAGTTTGGAAAACAAATTTTAAAATTCCTTTTTTTATGCTTGCAGGTTGTGGCTTCATCGGACGCCACATAGTCAAGTACATTGTCGACAACGACTTGGCGTCGGCTATTAGAGTTGTCGATAAGGTGCCACCGCAAATAGCTTGGCTCAACGATGCTCAAAAAAAAGCTTTTGATTCGCCATTGGTCGAATTTTGCAGTGCCAATCTCATACACCAAAGTAAGTGTCTAGTTGACCCACAACAGTATGAAACTATACCTATTTACTATCCATTCAAATTATTCTATGCTTCCAGGCTCTTGCGAGAACGCCTTTGAGGGATATTTCGATTATGCCATTAATTGTGCAGGAGAAACAAGACTCGGTTTGCCAGACGCTATATACGAAGAGAGCGTATTTAAATTGAGCATGAACTGTGCTCGTGCAGCGGCTAAATTCGGTATTAAACGGTACATAGAAATGTCGTCCGGTCAGTTTACCGCTAACCACAAACCATTCAAAGAAGACGATAAAGTCACACCGTTAACTTCTATAGCAAAGTATAAATATGAAATAGAAAAACAATTGACAAACATTCCCGGGTTGAATTACACAGTCGTACGTCCTGCCATCGTTTACGGCTTGGGTGACAAAACAGGCTTGAGTACGTCTCATTTTATTTACAGTTTAAATGTTTTTTTTTTAAATAATAATATGCACATACATATTGTATTATAGCTCCTAATCTCGTGATCGGCTCACTATACCGGAGCCTTGGTGAACCCATCCGAATATTATGGAAAGGGAGCACAGCGTGTAATACTGTACACGTCGAAGATGTTTCTAGAGTTGTTTGGCATTTACTAAAGTTACCAAATGTTAATGGAGAAGTCTATAACTTGGTGGACGAAGGAAAAACTACACAAGAAACAATAGCTGAAATTGTTTCTTCAATATTCAGCATCAAACACGAGTTCTTAGGCACTATATTTTCAACTCTTTGTCAAGTGTGTACATTTTATTATAATTATAAATGTGTTTTAAAGAAGTAAAATTAGTTTATACAATTTTTTTTAGAACGCTTTGGATAGTATTGTAAGTGAAGCCAACGATAAGCATTCCGTGCCGTGGGCCGAAGCTTGTTTAAAATCTGGAGTAAACAATACTCCATTGTCGCCATTCGTTCAGAAAGATCATTTAACTGGTTATCGTGTCAATATGGACGGTTCAAAATTAATAAGCAACACTAATTTTGTTGTAAAGCATTCAAAGATAACTGAAGATCTACTAAAAGAGGTTAGGTTTTACATCTTGTTAAAAAAAAAAACTAAAACTGAAGGAATAACTACAATGTGTGTACTTTTGCAGGTGGTTGATGATTTTGTTAAAATGAATTTGTTTCCGAAAACTTTACTCGACTAAGCACAATTATTAATGTTACCATTAGATATCCATTATTGAAAAAATAATTTTAAATATTTCTGTGATATGTTATTATTTGTAAACACTTTTCTTAAAGAAGAAAATGTTCATAATATTATATGACTAATTGAATCAATTGTTCATAGTTGTATAACTATCTATTAATAATTTTATAAAGAACACAGGTGTTTGGAATTGTATTCAAAATTGTGTAAAGTGGGCCAAAGAAAAATATATATGTACAACTATAAAACACACCGAATTTATTTATTTTAAATTGAAGCTAAATAAATATTAAGTGAGAATTAGGGAACATAGTTTTAAGAGTTTTGTTTTATTTGTTATAATTGCCACAATGGAAATAAGAAGGGATTTGTATTTTATAATTATTATTAAAGATACTGCTGACTGAGTGCATTTGATTTTATTGGCAAAAATAACCATAATAAAAAAACAGTTGAAAAATATATATTAGACTTGTGTTAATGTTTTGAAGTTAAACTTTTTTAAAAGTATTTCATGGTAAAAATATTATACATGAATGTATATTTTAAATACAATAGCAATTTTCCAATCCGTTGGTTGTTTGATCAAGTGCTCTAAATATGTATACATGTGTGGTATGTTGCGTGTTATGAATTTCTATTTTACTTAACCAAGCTTATCTTCTTAGTCGAACAAAAACATAAAATATATTTAATTATATTTTCAAGTTTACATTAAATAGCTTATTTAAATCTTAATTTCGCTGTATTGTAGTACCTCATTATAAATTAAAAATAAAACACAGTTAAATTTCAATGATTTTTTTTACAACCATCAACTTACGTCAATTACTTTTTATAAATTTCATTATAATAGGTATTGTGAGAATGCTCAACATGTGTTTAGTTAATACCAAAATATTATCCCCTTTGTACTTAAACGTAAATTATAATAAGGAGGGATAAATACATAAAAAAAATATTGGAGCAGAAACTAACGTTTTATAAAAGCTAATAAATTATTAACAGCATCTTGATATGCTGTAATAAATTGCCTACTAAACAAAGAACACTTAGCAACCAATGCTAATATATGTATACTAAAATTTGAACTATTATTTTTTTTAAGAACAAATAACTTTTACGTAACAACATTTACACCAGGGAATTTTGAACTTTTAAATAATAACCAATTATTTAAAATAAGTTTTTTTTTAGCACATCAAATATGAAATTTTTTATCTGCAATAAAGTTTTATTTATTTTATATAATAACATGTTATTTTTTTTTTAAATAAAAATGTATTGATTTTATAACAACTTTTAAATTAAAAAAAAATATTTAGTTTAAATTTAATCGTGTTATCCATTTCAATTTTTTCAATTTAAAATGAATTTGAAATCATTATTTCGATACTTGTTTAAACGTTAAATGCTATTAGAGATTTTATATTTAAATAAAATACCCATAGGTGTGTACGTAATCTCTTAATTATATAGTGTGGTGTCATATTAATGTGAAGTTCTAACAAGAACAAAGATGGGATGAATAGTTTAAAAGAAATGAGAAACGTTCTGTAAAATAAACACCATTTTATTAACATACGATGTTGCCATAAAAATGCAATACAAAATAGTATATAATAGTAATGGGTTTATCGTTTTCTGTGTAGCTGTAAGGTGTTCTTGCGCTTCCAGCATGCCTTTCTTGATCCACCAATCGTCTGGGAGTATCCGTGACCCTTTCCAAGACCTCGAGACTTGCGTCCGGCAGATGTCTTACCACGTAGTTCTCTGTGTTTGTGCACCGCGTTGCAGATCCAATTGACTTTGGCATCTCTGCGGATAGCCTAAAAAAAATTGTGAATTAAATAATTGACACTAAATTGACTGAATTGATATTAGTTGTTTATCTTAAAGATCAGAAAAGCCTTTATCCGCATTTTGTAAAATAGGAGTGGTGCATGGCAAATCAAATTTCATCATTTCTTTATAGTTAACATTTTCAAACAATATTTCATTGAACTTACGGGATGTGCAGTATCAACAGTTATTACTTCATAGAACTTGAATATTGCGTCCTGCCCAACCCAGTAAGAGTTGAGGACACGCAGACCACCACAACGACGTCCAACTCTTTCCTAAAATAAAACAACAAAATTCGTTAATTAGCTATTTGTAAGTTAAATTCATAGAAAATTTCAAAAGCAATTCAGACATAGAGAGGTTAAATAAATATACAACAACAATTCAGATAGCCAAGGGAACAAAATTGAGGTTTGTCCACATGTTTATTTTCAGTGGTTTAACAAAACACAAGTTATCATCATTATTGTCGATAATTTCTGTTGTGTAAATAACAGCGCTTATTAAACAGTTTTTAATAAAAGCAATTGATAACCTTACAAAATTAGCTCAATTATTAATTATTATTACTACTACTGTTAAAGCTATAATAAATTAATGATTAATAAAAGTATGCACTGATTATTATTTATTTTCAATTCAGATAGCCAAGGGAACAAAATTGTATATTTGTCCACAAATGTATTCAGAAATTATCTACAAAACACAATTTATCATCATTATAATTTTAAATAATTTTTTTAAAAAAAATCAAAACAAAAATATAATATATTACATATAAAACAACAAAATATCAGTAGGTATTTTTATCATTGAAAAAAAAAAATTCTCAGACATCCAAGGAAGATTAACCTTTCATAGATTATGATCAACAGTTATTTTACAAAATTGTCATCATCAAATCACCAAATAGTTTAATACTATCATATTATTGCTTTGTCAGATATAGATACATTTGTCCTCATCTATGAAATAAGGAGTGGTGCATGGTACATAGTCATCACAATAGCAATGTTATTAATTATTAATACTAAAGTGCTCTCTTCAGACATCCAAGGAAGATTGACCCTACATAGATTATGACCAGCAGTTATTTTTTTATTATCACGACCATACACTTAAAAACGTTAATCAGATAGCCAAGGGAACAATATTGTATATTTGTCCACAAATGTATTCGGAAATTATCTACAAAACACAATTTATCATCATATATGTTTTCCTTTAAATCTAAGTAATTTCATTAAAAACATGAATAAAAAAGGAAAAGAATATAAAAGATTTAGTCAACACAATAATGCCAAAGATAGCAAAGTCATGCTAATACGTTATTTTTTAAAATACATTCTCAGACATCCAAGGAAGATTAACCCTTCACAGTTTATGATCAGCAGTTATATTTACACTTTTTGTCATCACAATCATACACTTAAAAACGTTTATCAGATAGCCAAGGGAACAATATTGTATATTTGTCCACAAACGTATTCGGAAATTATCTACAAAACACAATTTATCATCACATAAGTTTTCCTTCAAATCTAAGTAATTTCATAAAAAAGCAAGTATAAAAAGTAAAACAAATATATAAGATTTAGTTAAATCAACAATGCCCAAGATAACAAAGCCATCCCAATAGTTATTGTTTGAAATCATTCTCAGACATCCAAGGAAGATTAACCCTTCACAGATTATGATCAGCAGTTATATTTACACTTTTGTCATCATAAACTAGTTATTAGTTGATACAATTTTAACGACAATACAGCTTTTATAAAAATTTTAAATACAATATGAAACAAACTCTGCAATATAAGTATCACTTTGGAATTACTAACAGTAATATCATGATCATACCTACTAAAAAAATAATCAGAAATCTATAGAATTTTCCTCATTTATCAATAAGGAGTGGTGCATGGTACATGTTCATCATATAAAACTAAACGTTAAATTTTGATACTTGATATTATATAACATATAACAAATATAAATACTAACATAAATGTTATCTACCTATTTAGTGTTCTGTATTTATCAGTATAATTGTATATTATCCTCATTTATTCAATAAGGAGTGGTGCATGGTACATGTTCATCATAAAAAAACGAGATAAGTTTTACTTTTAATTAGAATATTTTTTAACAGATATATACAAAAAAAAAAAAAAATCAATTTATTTCTATGAATTTATAGAAGTTGTCAGATTAATATTGTATAATATCCTCATTTAATCAATAAGGAGTGGTGCATGGTACATGTTCATCATAAAAATAACTAAACGTTTTATTTCGATAATTGATAATATATATTTAAATGTAAACGATAACTACTAACCTAAATGTTATCTACCTATTTGGTGTTCTGTAAGTATTTATCAGTATAATTGTATATTATCCTCATTTATTCAATAAGGAGTGGTGCATGGTACATGTTCATCATAAAAATACAAGTTGAGTTTAACTTTTAATTAGAATATTTTTTTAACAATAAACAGATATATAAAAAAAAAAAATCAATTTATTTCTATGAATTTATAGAAGTTGTCAGATTAATATTGTATAATATCCTCATTTAATCAATAAGGAGTGGTGCATGGTACATATTCATCACAAACCTAACTAATTTTTCTGTAGTGGAAAAAACATCAGAATTATGAATATTTTTTTAGCTTTCTACAAAGCATACAGAGTAACTATTTTGGTCTTAATAAAGTGTGACGTACATATTATATAACTAATGGATAGGCTTAAAACATATTAGTTAATACTAAAAATAAGCTCATTTAGCATTATACCTTATTTTAGACCTTAAACCAAAAAAGTTAACATACTCAATTCATTTAAATTTCTTCAAAACAAAATATAACATCAGTTTTTTAATTCCAAAAAACTATATTATTATATATTATACCACTAAATATTATCATTAAATAAAAAAAGTAGAGGAATTTGTGTTATTATACATAATGTGATTTTAAACAAATTTGCAACAAATAGTTATAGAAGGTATAGTATTTTTTTTTCAAACTTTATAACCTAATCGTTGAATGTATTAAGGCTTAACTTAGGTTATTGGTTAAAATTATTACCTCAGCAATTGATTGAAGACAACGTTTCGGTTTTAATTCATTGACTCCATGGCTCTTAGGTTTACCGTATGTTGCACCTTTGGGTACTGGACGTTTGCGGCCACCACGCCTGATACGCACTCTGAATATTGAGAATCCTAAAATTGTAATTGATGGTTTAAATTTTATTTGTAAAGCACATTGTTGTTTCATATGGAATGTCACCTTGTTTAGCTTTGTATCCAAGTCGCCTGGCTTTATCGGGCCTGGTTGGACGTGGAGCTCTGTGGACACGGGTCATTTGACGGTATTGCCAGACGCGTATGCGCAGCAAGTAACGCAGCACATCGCTCTGCTTCTTTCTGTACACCTCTTGTACGTACTTGTAACCACCCATTTCAAAAAAACGACCTAATCCTGAAAGTGAAACAACATAACCTCAAAATAAGAAATTAACATTAGCGTTAATTGGAGCCACTGAAATTCTAGAATTCAAATTTCTTATAATTAAAAGAATCACAAAACGCATGTTATAACACGAGTGATATAATGTAATCATAAGCGATGAATTCAAAAAGCAATTTCAAGTAATTTTCAGCGGCATGTTATTGAAAGAATATGCGCGGTTTCAATTTGGTGTTTCGCGAATGCAACACATTTTAAAACTTAAACCGAAAGTTATCAAAATAAATATAAAACTTAATATTATTAACTTCTAAATAAAACATTTTATAATACTTACCTAAACAGAGTAACTAAAACGCGTGCCGAAAATGTATGAAAAGGAACAGGACTTGTCCCGTTCCACAACAACACGAATGAAGAATGAAGTGTGGACGCACGTCACGTTGCCAAACTTAAAATATTTTGAGGTTAACCGGAATAAACAATATTACGGTTTTCTTTCAAACATACAATTATTAACTTTGACATCAACGCTTAAAAAAAAAATTCGATAATTAACTGTGATATCCAATATTAATAACCAGTTGAATATTTTCCAAAGAAATACTTCGAAATTTGAACTTGAAATTATTTAAGAATACATTTCGAAAATATCTGGCAACGTCGCATTATTTGAATATTTTTGAGGTTATGGGAATTTTTTTGAAAATGATAAATCAACAATTACTAATCTTTTTGTACTGTTAAAAAATATCATTACATTCAGATTCATCTGTGATTTTTTGAAAGTTTTTACGTTTAAGTGTATTAAAAGTTATTGCCAGTAGTCATGGCTATGTTAACGTTATGTGGACTTGCAGAAGACACAATGTTCAAAAACAAGTGTGAACAAGAAGAAAAAGAAGCTTTTGATTCGTTTCAGGATAATAACACAGTCAACCAAATGAATCTCTATACACTCCCAGGAAATGTAAGTACATTGTAGGAAAATACGTCGAAATTGAAATAGAAGCGGATTCATAGGCGGTTATCCAGGATGGCCGAAAAATTGTTTTGATAACTTTTTTACTGCCTTATAATACAAAAATTAACATACTGATAGGGTGACAAATATTATTTGTGTACTTAGGGTTGGAAAATCTCCCCTCCGAGGTGAAGAAATATTAAGTATAAAGTATAAACCAGTTTTGCATCAGAGTTAAAAAAAAAATTGCCCTGTACTTGACTAATTTCTTAATTTTATTGCATACCTACAAAAATAAAAAATTGTATTTACTTCTTCAATTTGTTTTTCTTGCTGAATTATACATAGTATTTTTGTATGTTGATTTTGAATTTAGCAAGTGTTACATTAAATAAATAAAGACAACCATTGAGGGCGAATGAATGTTGCAGCTTTACTGGTGGTATCCCTGCAACCATCTCACAAACACACATACTCATGAAAAAATAATATGATAAATTTAATTAAAAGCTCCAATTGTTCTCGCGTTGTTTAAACAAAATTATGATTTTCGTATTTGTAGTTTTTACTTAATTTAAATAGATATTTTCCAGTTTAAATCTCATAACAAAATTATTATCTTTAGAATATGTTGTATATACATGTTAATTATATTATGTACATTTACATGAATCTATAATACATATTTATGTTTTAGCCGGTCGAAAATATGCGTTTGATAACAGCTCGTGATACGATGGGTCGTCCAGTAGAATTAAATTTCCATCATGGTACTACTACTCTTGGGTTCTTATACCAAGGCGGCATTGTATTGGCTGTAGACTCTCGAGCTACCGGTGGACAATATATTGGATCACAGTGCATGAAAAAAATTGTTGAGATCAACGATTTCATGTTAGGAACATTAGCCGGTGGAGCAGCTGACTGTGTATATTGGGATCGTGTCCTTTCTAAACAATGCAGATTACACGAACTAAGAAATAAAGAGCGTATAAGTGTTACAGCTGCTTCGAAAATTATGTCGAATATGATATATTATTATAAAGGTTATGGACTATCAATTGGTATGATGTTAGCTGGTTATGATAAAAATGTAAGTTTTCTGATCGCTCAACAGTAATGTCATGAAACCAATTATGTTAAAAATGTTCATTTGATGTATATTTTAGGGTCCGTCTTTGTTCTATATTGACAATGATGGTTCTAGGACACCTGGTAAAGTATTTTCCGTAGGTTCTGGATCAATTTATGCGTTTGGTGTTTTGGATGCCGGTTATAAATGGGACCTTACTGACGAAGAAGCCCAAAAGCTCGGGCAACGAGCTATTTTCCACGCAACTCACAGAGATGCTTACAGTGGTGGTATTGTTAGAGGTAAGTCTATATATTATATGAATGATTTAAAAATAATATTTATCAATAATGAATTTTTTTTTTCAGTCTATCATATTACCAAAGATGGTTGGAAACATATTAAAAATGAAGATTGTGATGAGATATACGACAGAATACAAAATGAACCTAAATAAATGATAATTATCATTATGTAAAAAATCATAAATATTTTAATTCTAAGCTCTGGATTTTGTACGTTTTAAATCATAATATATACCTATTAAAAAATCCAAAAAAACTTACTATAATAAAAATGTTTAAAATATCTGTAAGTAAGCTAATTATTTCATTTATAAAAAAAAATGAATTTATTTTAGCTTTAATGTTTAATAATTGGATTTGTTGTGAGTTAATATTTAGATTGGAATTAAAAAAATAAAGGCTCAGTTACATTGATTAAATATGTATTTTATAATGAATATTTTATACATAATAATATATATTTAATTTATAGTATTTACTGAGTTGTTTTAAATAACAATTGTGACTTCTTAATTGAACTACGGTTCACAGTTTTCTATATATTCTGCAGACTACGACTACATGTAACACACAAGGATAACACATTTTTGCTGTGACAACGTTTTAATACAAGCTGCAATTTACAACATTTTTCATTATGTTGTAAAATATGTAAATAAGTGGCGCCGATCCCATTTTTGATAAGATACTGGAAATAACAAAAGTGCACAAATAAGGGTTAGAATATATTTCATGTATTCTCATAAAATGAACCTAAATATTTTGTAAAATTATTTAGGTTGATAAGATTAAAAATTTGCTATGAAAATTTAAATTTAAAGTGAAATTATTCATTATTAGAATATAATTGTCATTGTAGGACAAATAATTTCACTTAAAATATCACTTTCATATTTAAATTTGTAATCCTATCAACATAACGTATTTCAATTCTTGAATTCAATGAGTACATATCATATTTAAACATTTTTAAATTATAGACATAAGTTAGCTAAGTAATTATTAATATTTTTATTTTGTATAATTGAAAAGAAAAATGACAAAGTATGTATTAATAAACTTTAGCTCATAACTTGTTAGCGAGTCAATATAAACAAAATATTGGGAATGGTTATTTAGGTATTTATGATTAAAATCCCCATACGTATTAAAAATTTTAAAAGTTTTAAGCATTTGAATATATATATATATATATATGTATGTATTTATGACTAAAATGTTGCCTCCTAAACATTTTTGAAATTGTCAGTTAAGCAATTTATCCACTCATGACGCACCCCTTCAATTACAAGAGTGACTGCATGTGCACTGTTTAACTTCCAATCGCAGTAAGAGCTAAACTCTATTGTGATACATAATTATGTTCTATTTTTATTTCTATTAATTCGACAATGGTGTTTCGGAACAATTAGTATACAACATTTATATAGTACAAATTAAAAATTAACTAATTTGAGAAAGTACGTTTAAATTTGATAGATATATCCAAATTTCACATTAAGGTAATGCGTTAACATTTTATTCACGTTAATTGATCATTGTGACAGTATAAAATAGGTTTAGTATTAATATTGTACGGGAGGTTCTACCGAATCGCAACACGTTTGTCTCGGTAAATCGTAGATATTGTAACCACGTGGTGGTTGTCTTATCAAGTCTACGGGATCATAACCGAAACCTAGTTGATTTATCGTTAATAATGAATTTATCATTTTTGCGATCGTTGGGTTGTTGGAAGACAACAGTTGCCAAAACAAATTACTAGCAAAAGCGGCCGGCTGATAAAACGGGTATCCGTATTGAGGGCAAGGGAAAATTGTCGGTTGCGGTAATACGCCAAACGGGTTAATTCCTCCCTGAAGCGACGCCGGTGGTTGTTGTTGAGCTGTAGTAGGGAATTTTAGTGGATTGTCCAGTTGCTGTTGGTTGGCCGACAATAGTGGTTGTAGATATTGTTGCTCGTAAGGTGATAAACAAATTTTCGGTAAGGTCGGAAACGGCGGTTTGATCGGTTGCTGATTGGCTACAGGAAATGGCTTCAAGCAATTGAAGCGCTGTAGAACCTGTTGTTGAGACACGGGTGAAGTAAAACATTGACCGAGCTGTGGCACCGGTGCAGGAAAACACAACTTGTCAGTACAGGGCTTTGGGCAAAAACAATTAGCCGGCATTTGAACGCCGCCGCCGCGGCGCGGACATATGATATTGTGTATTGGTCGAACAAACGATTCGACTACAGAGCTGTAAGTGAATAAGGACTATTAGTCGTCAACAGTTACCAGCATCCGATTCAATCATATAAATATATATAATATATATGTTCATGGATTGACCTGTTTACTAAACTATTCATCAAGTGTATTAAATTTAGAGGTCTATGGGATAAATGCAGTAAATTCAAACGATGTGTCAACTCAGATTTACTACAGTTTTTTTTTTTTGTAATAAAATACTGATGTGAAAATCGGACAAAAACAACAACAGTAGAATCGAATTGCCCATATTTTAATTTTTAACAATCTATGCCAAATATTACCTAGTCGAAGAAACTCTTGAGGTGGAGTTTTTGAATACATAAATTAAAATGTTTTTTAAGGTATCACCTTGAAATTAATCTTAGTTTTCGTTACTCACAAAAATAAAATTTGATGTTTGGCAAAAAAAACAAAATATAATATTTCGAATGATTACATTTATACACAGGTACTCTGATACATCGATTTAAAATATACAAACCTTTGTCAGGTTTCATTCATACCTTAAATCCGAATTGTTATCGTCCACGTCGGTATTTTTGAAAGACTTCTCTATCGAGCTCAACTTTTCGAAAAATTCTTTGACTTTTGCCTGTTCCAAAATTGCAGCATAGTCAGATTTATCCTCCTGGTCGGATTGTGTGGATGGAACCAAACCCTTGCTGGTCGGTCCTTTTGAAAGTAATTTCTGAATTCCGTTGGCATTTGAAGATGTTATCTGACAAGTATTTCAATGATTTGGTAAGTTTTAGTATTTTTTTTACTGTTCGCTAGTACTTAGTACCTATGTAATTTTGTTGGTTAATTATTCTAAAAACAATGCCACTACCTAATAAAATATATTAGATTATCTATTAATAATTAAAATATATCTAATTTAGATATATTCTAATTATTTATATTGAACATTTTACATAATAGAATAGTATTAGACAAACTAAATGCAGTCAATAATTTGACTGGCGTGCATGCTAAATAGTTATCTTAATTTGATCAAATCCCAAATTGTGACGACGTAACTTTAAAGTTGACAAATTCCATCTTTTCCTGTTCACGATTATTACATTGTTTCGAAACATGTGTTTAGAATTGTTAGTAAGGCTCTATTAAAAAACAATTGCGCGGTTAAAAGAGGCTACAAGAAAATGTTACGAAAAAAAATACCGATAATCCTTTCCTTAAATTATTTGAAGTAATTTATTCTGCTGCATTCATCTAAAGTAACTATGCAAAAATTATAGATTCCTCCGCCAATCATTAGGATCGTAAAAATCAATTTTGGGCACCTATTCTGCAACTAAGTGTTTGCACTTTGTGTACTTACTATAAACGCGGCGCAAACGCATATTGCCATAATACAACTATTTAAACGCCGAAGATCCATAACCGTTGACGAATATAGGTTGTTGTCTTTTCAATGGATAAACTTTAAAATTTTAGACAGTTGAATGAATGATGTGGACGCGATGGTCCGGGCTTTTATATAAGCATAATTTTTTCGCGTTTTAAGTTAGTAATTAGAGATAAATTCCGTGATTTGTGTGTGGTCGTAGAATAAGGAAACACTTTTTTCCTGTTTGAATCGATAATGATCGATTTATTGTACTCTACACGTCTCGGTAGTTATCTTTGATTTTTGGTAAACTTATAAGTAAAATAAAATGTATCTATTGGAAGTGTCGGATGCAATCATAATAACAGTAGTAATTTAAGCATTGTATTAATATGATAAAACGTTCATTCGACCGCCTATTATGATTTATGACCTAAGACCTTGTATAATGAAAAACGTAGGGAATGTTTTCACAAAAAGCTAAAATACCAATGTTTATATCAAAATAAAATATTAAACTTGTTAACTAGGATTCTTCGATGGTATTTATTTAAATTTTTTTTCGGCACTGCATCCAGTAATAATGGATTTCTTAAAAAACAGCCCTTCACTTCCTAACAAAGTACATTGTACCTTACAGTTAGTATTAAAAATGCCTCCAAAAAACCGTTTTGAACTAACAGCCCAAAACTTTTTGAGAAAAAATACATTACCCCGAAATTTATGTTTAAAAATATACTAAATATTTTCTTTTTTCAACACCGATTTGTTTTTAGCTTAGAGGGGGATCGATCTAAAATTTAATAGATTTATTTACCAAAAATAATAAATAAATAATTTATTTATAATGTATTTTTGTCAGAAAAAACAATAAGGAGGTAATATACAATAAGAATTGAATAAGCAACATGAGGGTAATAAACAATAACAAGGAAATAACAATATATAGGTAATAAACTATTAAGAAATAAGTATAAACACTAATTCATAAATGTCCAATCCCATTAACGGTAGCATGTCAAGTTGGACTAAATATATTAAATTCAAAAATGTATAAAAAGTATAGTGTGTTGATGATTTCAGCAATTTAATTTACACATTATTCAACTAAACATTACTGTGTCATGTAATTTTTTTTTAAATAATCTAGTTGCAAATGTGTATGGAATATTCAGTATTCTTTAAATGTACTACTGTTGATAAGAGTTAGCAAACTAAAAAACAGTTAAAACCCTAGAAGCGGTAAAAAAGTTTTCTTTATTTCACTATTTTGAACGTAGTTTTGGGATTTAAAATCTGAAAATGATACTAAAAAAAATTCTAGAGTAGAACTTTAAGAGTATTTGAAATTTTCAAAAATAAAATAAAATTGTAGGAATCCAACATCCCAGATCACCTCCAGGCAGCACTTCACCCCAACCTTCAGGCTGAACGCAACATCATCCAATTTCTAAAAAAATCAAATCTACTCTCTCTTATCTAAACAGTTGTATACTATAACATATGTATACCAAAATTGTATGCCAATGACCCTGCAGTCGAGGCTTTTGAATAATAAAAAAAAAAATTGTATTAAGAAACTTTGATGGTATTTCTGATTTTATTTTCATTTGTACAAGGGTGTTGAATTTAAAGTTAAACACAAAAATAATAGTAATTTGTAGTTTCTATAATTTTTATTTTTATAAGTACATATATATGAGTGGAATGATGCATTTAAAATTAAATAACGCAATTTAATATCAGTAAAATAAAATCATTTATAGTTATTGTGTCTATTGAATAGTTTTTACCATCCACATTTAAGGCACCTAATATAGAATTTATTATTGTTAAAATTAAAACCGGAAAAGCGGTAAAATGATACTCTTCAGTTACAACCAAAAAATTGAAATTTGAATCGTGCATGCCCTTCTCTAAATAAACTATTCATGATCTGTTTTCGCGCCAACAAAAAAATTATATATTAGTTTACCTTAGTGTTACCAAAAAAATAAATAACTGTGAAATTAAAGTGAAGATTCCGGATTCGTCTATTTGCGATTAACTTGTTTTATACATAACACTGCAAATAAACGCTAATAAACCGATATTGGACAGCAATTAACGTATAATATTTATAGATTATAGATATTGACATTGTTATTTCTTTGAGCATAACATACAATTTAAAATTGATATACCTATAATTTATGCTAAGTGATTTATCTATTATTTTTATTATTTATTATTATAATATTATAGATTATATATGAGTCCGCTTCAACATTTTTTTTTCGCCTCCAAAGCATAAAACGGATTCATTCTGGTAAAAGGAAAATATTTTCTGATTTTTTTTAATAACACAATGCATTTTACATTTTTAACAGAACTATTAATAATTGGTACTAACTACTAGCTTACGAAAATACCTTCAAATTTTATTATAGCTACCGTTAAGTTTTGACTTATATTAAACATTTTTTTTTTTTCAATATTCCATAGATTTTACCGGCTAAACTACTTGTCAAAACTCTATCATAGTTATAATCAACCATGAATGACTTTTCTTAAGCTTTTAAACGATAGTAGTTAGATTTGTGTGTATTAAACCAAAAAAATAATTGTTGACTAATACTTAAAGACCAGATTATTTTTTATTTTATAGTATTTACAATTAAATATCATTTAAAGCGTGAACTAGGGACAATGGCTAAGTGATTGGCAGAGATCGTTTTAGTTTTATTTATGTTTTTGTTTCTAATTGTAAGGGCATTGTCATTGAAATCATAGCTTAATTTTAGTTTATACTTAAATTTTAAGGTAGTAAAACTCTGACCAAAAATGACCATTATAAAAGGCTAAAAAAGGCATTTAAAGGCAGTTTTAAAATTTTAAATTTTTATCGCGTGCTTTAAGCACAGGTAATTAAGATCCGTCTATGAGATTTTATTGTATTAGTTGTAAAAATCACTAGTAAGTGTCAATATTTATCATTTTTATTACACAGGATTTAAAACAGAATATAATATGTATTAACTAATAAGACGTATAATAGAATCAAACAAATTACAAATTGTTTATATAGTACATTAACAACAGAGTAATTATAATGTTATTGAAGTAATCTTACTTCACAGTAAAATCTTCAATGTAGATTTTACGGCGAATTTGGTGGTATTTTCGAATGGTACTATGTGGTGGCTAATTTGAATTATCGAATTCTGTTCTCAAATACAATTTGGTTCAGTAGAAAACAGAAATGGGGTTTAAATGGTGTTTACAGCGACAATTTTTTTTTTTTTAGATTTAGCCGCTTAGACACTAAAATGCCGTTTGCTTAGTGAGTTTTTCCTTCAAGAGGTTTGCGGTTCTGGCGGAAACGGTTGGCTTGGTTTCTGATACGACAGAGGAGTCGTTGTATAGGATTACTATACTGCGAACACCGCAAATTGGGAACCGTCCAAATGGGGTCCCTTTGAACATGTGGTGGAAACCATTGATCGGGATGTTGGAAAGGCCCAAGAGCCCCAATTTCCGGATAATGTATCATGTTGAATCCGGAAGGCGGTTGTTGTAGGATGTGTGCGAAGTCCGGAATATGAATATTATCCATACCGCCAAAACATTGCCACGGGTCCAATTGATTCGGTATAGATCTAAACGCAGAGCTGGGTCTGGAATTCGAAAAATCTACAGTTAGACAAACTGAGTTCATGTGGTATTTCACCTTAGGTTACTGAGACGACTCTAGAATTAGGTCTTAAGTTAAACCAAAAACTATAAATTTAGCATGATCATTTTCGGATAACTAATGACAACATGGATAGATCTGAAAATGACCAAGTGTATCAGTTCACGGAGATATTTACAACACATTCATAAAACAAATATTTGTTTCGATTTTTTTGGTAATAGAAACTAAGTGTTTGATCAATCATTTTTTTTTTTAGAAAATTGATTATGCAAGTTAAAATTTTGTACCCAAAACCGGTATTTTCGGCTATTGTATTAAACGGCAACATCAGCTCCTGGAAAGGATTTGGAATGTTTTTTGGCAGCAAATCTTGGACGAATTGGCCGGCATTCATTGTCGGTGGTAAAATGTTGAAATCGCCCGTGTGTCCCATGGGTGGTCTCTGGATGACATAGGCCGTCGAAGTCGTTACCTGTATAATACAAACATTAGGGATTTGACAGCTGTTATATTGTGATTAGTCTTTATAATTATCGTTAAAACATAAAGGTATGGCTACTAATAATATCGAGATGTATGAAATCATACACAGCCCGCTAAATCATAATGATGCTGAACTATGCCATGGCACTTTTGCCAATGCTAATGTTTTTGTATACATACTGTAAATGCGACGTACGATAGGCATACCGCTATAATTGTAAAACGAGTGGAACCGCGAAGATCCATGACTGAAGTTTATCAAATAGCTTATATTAGGCTACGCGTTAACGGATCGACTGACGATTGATTTCGGTAAACAGTTGGTCGGCTTTTATATTACATTTAGTTTGTCGTTCTTTGGTTAAACCGTGTAAACCGATTCGACCGATTTTATCTAGCGGTGGACTTACAAAAAATCGATTTCCTCGTTGACAAATTCCGGTTCGAATCGATACTTAAACAAAATCGTTATTACTTAGGCGCTGACGTTATCGTTTTTAGAGATGCAAAAAAAAATATAACAAAAATCTGGTCGATCAAATTCAAAAGTGTCGATTGCACTCAATGTCAGATAGGAAATTTAATGTATATATATTGATAAAAAACGAGTGCACGGCCGTAGCCTTGCATCGCGTTATACAACACTCGGTCGGCCGTCAACGAATAATATTTATTAGATTTTTGCATTTTATGCGATTGTGTGCATTGCGATGATAATATATTAAAAACGGACAATGTGCAAATGAGGCACGAACCGATCGGTTTGAAACGAGCGAACTTATATGATCCTTACAATTTACTTAATTTATATTATATAATATGATCTTAAATTATAAGATGTTTGTTTATTACACACCTGTAAACAATATTATACAGTTAAATTTGTATAAAATAATGGCAATTGTTTAAATACATATTTAAAAAAAGAAAAACAAATATTTAAGAACAACTAGTTTTTTGAAATGTTTCCAATTCTGAATTAATTGTGTGACTGGTGAATTATATTCTAGTTTTTTAATTTCAATATAATTAATAAAATAAAAATATTTAAATAGTTCGAGTAGTACAATTTAAAAGGCTTAAAAGATTTAAAATATTTAAAATATTGTTATTAGAGTTTCGAAAATGAATTATTCAAACATGTATATAATTTCAATTGCGTGACTAGTTTAAATTTTACATGAAATCGTCTACTATGTATTAAATGAACAATTTGTTGTAAGCAATTACCAACTAAATGTTTAGGATAAAAAAAAGGTTAACCATTATTCATCAGCTATACTTGAACTTATGTGTTATAAGTTATACATGTTACACACGAACACTTCATTTCATTCTCGCTGAAACTATGTAGACAGCGTTCATTGCAATTGCCTAAACATTTTTGTTTAGACTACAAAAATAATTGTTGTTGAAAAACAAGTTGCCAAATGTAGCCCTACTATTTGGTGTTACTATTATTTTGTATTGTATTGTCGGTTATAAACATTGAACCTGCGTAGGTATAATAAACAAAATACCTAGTCCCAGCATAGTAAATATGTAGTACAGCCTACTGATCTGTGGGAATTATTACAGTGATAAAATCATTTTCAAGTAAAAACTTCATTACTAATGTGCCCGAAAATCCTAAACCAAATAAAAATTATTTAGTGTTATTTTCCATAAAAATATGGAAACATAAGTTCCGTGATCATTGACTCGGATATATCTGAAAATCATCCACGTGATATATCAACCCGTGAAAGTTTTAACAGATTCATAATATTTGTATTAGCCAAATTTATTCAAATATAAAGGTAACCTAATGATTTCTCCATAATTTATTGAAAAAATATTTAAAAAATCCAGTAAATCGGGAACAAAATTATTATAACACATAATGATAAAGTCATTAAAAAAAAGACGGATTGATGTGAATTTATAAAAGAACAGTAAACGTTTATTGTAAAATACATATTTCGTTTATTTTTCAATATTTTTTGACCAAGTACAGTTAATACAATTTGTTTGTATTTGATAGGTAGGTACACATTAAATCTATCATCGGTCTTATATAAGAAATACCAATTTAAATTTGAAATATTTAGCATGTCATATTATTTTAGTTTAATAATATTTAAATTTTAAAGTTTTTCCTCAATTAAAACGGAAAATGGGTAAAATTTTCCAACCTTGAATACACCTTTTGTTTATGAATTATTCTGATCTATGGACTTGCTCCAATAGTAATCGGTCCGGTGGTTAAAAAGTTACTGTGGGTAAAATTGTTATTTAATTAGTTTATTTATTTGAAAAATGTAGTTTTAAAACTAAGTATTTGAAAAAAGTATTAAATTAAATGGATTTGTATTGAAATGAACAATGAAAATTTGTCCAATTCTGGGCTTACGGCAAAATAATATTTTTAACTATGGTAATTCTTGATTGAATAACTCAATTCTTAAATTTGCTTGAGCTTATTTTCACTTCTAAATAATAAGTACGTTTTTACTTTTTCAAAATCTATTCCGATCTTTCTCTCTCCCTCTCTCTCTCTACATATATATGTATATATGTACATGTATATATATATGTGCGTTGACACAAATCATCTTTGATCTTAGAATTAATAACTTAAAAATCAATGCCTATCTATATAACTTCTTAATCTCTGGATTATATTTTTTGTATATTCATCCTACAATATATATCTTAAAACTCTTATTTAAGTAAAAACGAATGTACACGAAATTTATAAAAAAAAGCTTCCGCAAACAATTAATATGATTGATAAAATCAAGAGGAAAATATTAATAAGAAAAATAATGTATATTCGTTCACAAATCAGTTATGTAAATTTTTATTTACATTTTCATCAAAAAATGTTATAAATAGTTGTATTACAAACATAAAATTAACTTTATAAATGTTATGCTCATATTTTATAATATTTATTAACTTTTTTGAACCAACATAAAATTGTTACAACATAAATACAAAATTTATATTTTATTTCGATTAACTAGCTAAAGAACGAATTATAAGTAATATTTCTCTAAGTAACTTAAACGTATTTTTTTCACTTAATGTTGGACGATTAGACAATTGTGAGTTATTGCCAAAACACTTAATGCATTCAGATAATGTATCCCATAAAGAGCTTTCAGTAGCAAGAGGTTTTGACATCTGATTTGAATACGGATAGTGCGAATCTGATAAAGGCCCGGATTGATGATTACTTGGATTTGATTGTGGTAGTTGAGATTGTTGACTATTAGGGTTCATATGCAGCTGACCTGGTTGTTGACTTTTGGCGTTTCTAGATTGTTGATTGTCAGGATTCATTTGTGTCTGTCCAGATGGTTGACAATCTGGATCACTACATGTTTGATCATTTGAATTCATTGGATAGTTCCCTGATTGATTGGGTCCACTTCCTTGATTGTTTTGGTTTATTAGAGATTGTTCTGACTGTTGATTATCCGGATCAATTTGAATTTGATTATTTACATTTACTTGGGTTTGATCTGGTTGTGGACTATTTGGATTACTAGATTTTTTAGAATTCTTTGGAGAGTAACCAGATTGATTGAGTTCATTTGGTTGATTGGCTGGGTTCAGTGGAGACTGTTGATTAGATGGACTCAGTTGAGACTGACCCGGTTGTTGACTATTTGGGCTACCTGAGTTTTGGCCATTGGAATTTATTGGAGGATAATCTGGTGGATAAGGTTCATTTGACTGTTTGGATGGGTTCATTGGAGATTGTTGATTGTCAGGATTCATTTGTGTCTGTCCAGATGGTTGACAATTTGGGTCACTATCTTTTTGGTCATTTAAATTCATTGGAGAGTAACCTGGTTGATTAGGTCCATTTCCTTGATTGTTTTGATTTATTAGAGATTGTTCTGACTGTTGATTATCTGGATCGAGTTGCATTTGATTATTTAAATCTAATTGTGTTTGATCTGGTTGTTGATTTTTTGAGTTACTAGGATTTTGGCCATTGGGTTTCTTTGGGTAGTTATTTGATGGATAAGGTTCATTTGGATTGGTTGGGTTGATTGGAGACTGTTGATTAGATGAATTCTGTTGAGACTGATCAGCTTGTTGACTATATGGACTACCTGATTTTTGACCATTGGGATTCATTGGAGAGTAACCTGGTGGATAAGGTTCATTTGGTTGATTGGTTGGGTTGATTGGAGACTGTTGATTAAATGGACTCTGTTGAGACTGATCAGGTTGTTGACTATTTGGGCTACCTGATGTTTGGCTATTTGAATTCATTGGAGAGTAACCTGGTTGATTGGATCCACTTCCTTGGTTGTTTTGGTTCGTTAGAGATTGTTCTGACTGCTGATTATCAGGATCGAGTTGTATTTGATTATTTACATTTACTTGGGTTTGATCGGGTTGTGGACTATTTGGATTACTAGATTTTTGACGTTTAGAATTCTTTGGAGAGTAACCGGAATGATTGAGTTCATTTGGTTGATTGGTTGGGTTGATTGGAGACTGTTGATTAGATGGACTCTGTTGAGACTGATCAGGTTGTTGACTGCTTGGACTACTTGATGTTTGGCTATTTGAATTGATTGGAGAGTTACCTGGTTGATTGGATCCACTTCCTTGGTTGTTTTGGTTCGTTAGAGATTGTTCTGACTGCTGATTATCAGGATCGAGTTGTATTTGATTATTTACATTTACTTGGGTTTGATCGGGTTGTGGACTATTTGGATTACTAGATTTTTGACGTTTAGAATTCTTTGGAGAGTAACCGGAATGATTGAGTTCATTTGGTTGATTGGTTGGGTTGATTGGAGACTGTTGATTAGATGGACTCTGTTGAGACTGATCAGGTTGTTGACTGCTTGGACTACTTGATGTTTGGCTATTTGAATTGATTGGAGAGTTACCTGGTTGATTGGATCCACTTCCTTGGTTGTTTTGGTTCGTTAAAGATTGTTCTGACTGCTGATTATCCGGATCAAGTTGTATTTGATTATTTACATTTACTTGGGTTTGATCTGGTTGTGGACTATTTGGATTACTAGATTTTTGATGTTTAGAATTCTTTGGAGAGTAACCGGATTGATTGAGTTCATTTGGTTGATTGGCTGGGTTCAGTGGAGACTGTTGATTAGATGGACTCAGTTGAGACTGACCCGGTTGTTGACTATTTGGGCTACCTGAGTTTTGGCCATTGAGATTTATTGGGTAGTTACCTGATGGATAAGGTTTATTTGGTTGAATGGTCGGGCGCATTGGAGACTGTCGTAACTGTTGATAATCTGGATTAAGTTGTATCTGATTATTTAAATTTACTTGTGTCTGTTCTGGTTGTGGAGATGGTTGACCATTCGATATTATTGGAGACGATTTTGGTTGTTGACTGTATGGATTCATTGGATAGTATCCAGGTTGTTGGCTATATGAATTAATCTGCGGTTGATTATTAGGGTCACCAGATTGTTGATCAGTTGATATTAAAGGCCACTGTTCAAATTGTTGTCCATTTTGATTTATTGGAAAGGGTTTTGTTTGTTGATTGTACGGATTTATTGGATAGTTTGCAGGTTGTTGACCATATGGGTTTATTTGTGGTTGATTAATGGGGTTCATTGGAGACTGTTCTGGCAGTTGATTATATGGATGCAGTTGATTTTGTCCAGGTTGTAGAAAATATGGGTCACTAGATTTTTGGGCATCGGAGTTCATTGGATAGTAAATTGATGAATTAGGTTCATTTTGTTGATTAGATGGATCGGTTGGAGACTGTTGATTGTTAGGATTTACTTGTATTTGTCCAGATGGTTGACAATTTGGGTTATCTTTTTGGTCATTTAAATTAATTGGAGAGTAACCTGGTTGACTGGGTCCACTTTCTTGATTGTTTTGGTTTATTAGAGATTGTTCTGACTGTTGATTATCCGGATCAAGTTGTATTTGATTATTTACATTTACTTGTGTTTGATCTGGTTGTTGATTAGTTGGGTTACTAGATTTTGCGTCATTCGATATTATTGGAGACGATTTGGGTGGTTGACTGTAGGGATTTATTGGATAGTATCCAGGTTGTTGCGTGTATGGATTTATTTGCGGTTGATTAGCAGGATTACCAGATTGTTGATGATTTGATGTTAAAGGCCACTGTTCAAATTGTTCTCTATTATGATTTATTGTTAAAGGTTCTGTTTGTTGATTGTATGGATTTATTGGATAATATGCCAATTGTTGACTGTATGGATTTATTGGATAGTATCGAGGTTGTTGGCTATATGGATTTACTTGTGGCTGACTTGTTTGTGGATCTTTCGAGTTTCTTGATCCCTGGTTTATTTTTGGTAAAAATATTGGTGTAGTGCATCTCGATAAAGGATAATCGAATTTATTAATTCCTAAAATTAAGTATGGATTTGGAACTGCTGGAACCGACTTCGGTGTAAAATATTGAGCGGTCCTATGCTCTGCAATTGGTGGGTATGGTGTATATACTCGAATTTGTTTTGGATTTATAATACCAAATGGAGTATAATAAGTTGGTAAAATGGAGTATGCGCTCGGTGAATAATAGTTTGGTTGCTCTCTTGAGTATTGATATCTTGCAAAAGGTGTGTTGTGTTGAAATTGATAACCATCTAATAGGTTTAATAAGGATCGAGTTTGTTGGATATTTTGTAGCGTCCTATCTAATAGCTTTATTTGTATTGGTGGTAATTGAAAGCATACCGGTTTTGGTGATCTGAAAAAAAACACGCAAATCTTTAAAAGACGAATTTTCAAATCCATATTTACGTATAGCTTAAATGTTTGTTGTTATTCAAAAATGGAAAAATTTATTTGGATATGTCATACTGAAATCCTGGATTTTCCGTTTCGGTGTTATCTTTTTCGTGCGACGAACACTGGCCAAGTGGTTCGTCTTGGTTTTCTACATTTGAAATTAGAGAAGATGAATTATTATCAGTCACGGATGGCGTCGATTCTGGATTCACGATCGGCTCTGAACATGTTGCCTAGAAACAAAAAAAAAAAAAAATCTCTAAAACGAAGGACATTTAAATAAAAATGTATTTAATTCGTTGATTTTTGTTTTTTCTATTACAGTTTTAAAGATATTTAAACACATTAACGATATAAGATTGCTTGTACTTGTATAGAGTACTTACGTGGAATACTAAAGTTACAACGTAAACACCTAAAAGAAAACGTTTGTAAATATCCATGACGGTTAGACATGTACTCGTTAGCGATTGATTACTATGATCAACGTAGAGTGGTCGGACGTTTTTATAGGAATTTTCTTTTTGGGTTATAATAATCGATTTTGTAAAAAAAAACATGCTTATCTGGGTGCAGTTATTCGATTATCGGTTATCGATCGACGTCGGTGAAACTTTTTATTGTGTGTTGCACATTTTGTTCGTTATCTAACTGAAAATCGACCAAATTGCACTGAATACATAATTTACAGAAATCATCTATTACAACAGTAATACGACGCCTCCGTACAGCGCCATTTGATGCGTTGGCGTCTCGTTTCATCAAACTATTGACATGGTTTTTGTTAGTTATAATTTATTATTATTAACATTAACAGCAGTAATAGTAAACACATACGCATCCGTATGCGTTTTAATAATATCGTTACGGGCTTCGTCTGTTTCGATTAGATACTATAGTATTACCTTCTGTTTAACTAGAATCAGATTGGTAATTTAAAATAAAAATAAATAATTATATTAAACGGTATGGGTAGTTTTTTTATTACATTTTAAGTACCTATTTACATTTCAAGCTCATACGAATATAAGAAAAAGTGTCTTTGGCAAACTTTTAGTTCTTTATTCGTCATTTTTTTTTATCAGAAAGCAGTTTTGGAATTGAAAATATAATATCTAATAAAAGATACCCGTAAAATATAATCTGCCAAACAAGTCCTAAATAAGACAATAAATTATTGTCTTGTAGACTGAAAAGATGACTACCGAATTTTATCACATTTCCAAAATCACTACATTTATTTAAAAAATACAAAATTAATTTAAAATAAAAAACAAAATTGTAGATCACTACACAAATGAGTTACAATTTATATGATCATAGACCAAATTGAAATTTACTCTTTTTTTTTGTAAAATTATATTTTTATTTTGAAACTTAAGTAAAAGTATATAATATAAAATTATGCAGTTTCTAAACGACTTATGATTTACTACATTAATATATGTTTTCTTGTTGTATTTAAAGAATTATGTCATTATTGCATAGTGTATGATAACAACAGTTCATTTTAGTGTACTGCCTCATATTATCGGATTTCTTCTATTCTGTGTTTGATGATTAGAAGATCTTAGCATGTGTTACAGGTAGGTCGGAGTTCTATGGTGATCACAATGCGTGTGTTAGATTTGTGTGACGCAATTAGAAGTACAATTTTTATTTTGTTCTCCTATGAAATTTTATAAAAATCACTTGTATCATTTTGATTATATCACTTTATATAATTAGTACGACTTTGAATAGTTGCTTATAACTTATGGTACTACATGAACATTTGTACACAAACTACTGGGTCTGGTTTCACTGCCGGACCCTGTAATACAAAATACATTTTTTTTTTTAAATAGGTATTTTTTTTATAAAATAGAGTTTGTTATTTATTTTCCATTAAAGTTACATTCATTATATAATAACAACAAAACAAAAAATAAATATGAAATGAATATTACAATAGGTTTCTACACATATCTTAGACATAAAAATTATTTGTTTAAGCTATTAAAATATAAGCAAATCAAACATTTCAAGTCTTATTTATAGTGTTTACATTTATTTAAAACCTTTACACTTTCTAACAACTACATGAGAGTGATGTTAATAAGGATATTGGTGCTGGAGCTGAGCACGGCCTAATTCCTGATGACAAGAGTGGCAACAGTTTTAATAAGGAAAGACGGGATGGGGCAACACAGGGTGTTGGAAGAGGGAGTGGCAATGGAGGTAGACATGGAGCTGATTTTGAGCGCAATAGAGGCAGTAGACTCAAAAGGGCTGGGCTAATAGTCGGTGCACATTGTGCTGGAAGGGGCAGAGGGAGTGGAGCTGGGGCAGCGCATGGGCCTGGTGCTGAAGCGGCCAAAAGCGGTAATAGGCTCAGAAGGGCTGGGCTAAGAGCTGGAGCACATGGAGTTGGGAGTGGAAGTGGTAGTGAAGCTGGAGCTGGAAGAGGAGCAGCGCATGGAACTGGCGCTGGTGGTGCGAGCAAAAGTGGCAACAAGCTCAAAAGAGCTGGGCTAATAGCTGGGGCAGATGGAGCAAACGGAGCTGGTAGTGGGAGTGGTAGTGGTGCTGGAGAAGAGCAAGGAGCTGCAAGAGGGAGAGGGAGTGGAAGTGGGGCGGGAGCAGCGCATGGAGCTGGTGCCGAAGCGGCCAAAAGCGGTAAAAGGCTCAGTAGGACTGGGCTAAGAGCTGGAGCACATGGAGCTGGGAGTGGGAATGGAAGAGGTGCTGGAGCTGGAAGAGGGAGAGGTAGGGGAAGTGGTGCTGGAGCAGCGCATGGAGCTGGAGCAGGTGGTGCCAGCAAGAGTGGTAACAAGCTTAAGAGAGCTGGACTAATAGCTGGGGCGGCTGGAGCACATGGAGCCGGGAATGGGAGTGGGAGAAGTGCTGGAGCTGGGAGAGGGAGAGGAAGTGGTGCTGGAGCAGCGCATGGACCTGGTGCTGAAGCGGCCAAAAGCGGTAATAGGCTCAGAAGGGCTGGGCTAAGAGCTGGAGCACATGGAGCTGGGAGTGGGAGTGGGAGAGGTGCTGGAGCTGGAAGAGGGAGAGGGAGGGGAAGTGGTGCTGGAGCAGCGCATGGCGCTGGAGCAGGTGGTGCAAGCAAGAGTGGCAACAAGCTCAGAAGAGCTGGACTAATAGTTGGAGTGCATGGTGCTGGAATAGGCAGTGGGAGTGGTAGTGGTGCTGGTGGTAGACATGGAACCGGTGCTGGTAGGAGGAATGGGGCTGGGGGTGCGCAGGGAGCTGGTGCTGAGGCCGCTAAAAACGGTAATAGGCTCAGAAGGGCTGGGCTAATAGAAGACGGCAATCCGCATGGAGCTGACAAAATCTGAGGGCTGCATGGAGTAGTTGATACCTAGGTAAGTTATATATTTCAGACATGCTATTTGATGTTTAGTACACAATTTGTTTTACTACATACCTTGTGTACTATTCCTATTGCTATAAAAACTATTATTTTTGAAGTGAACATGTTTGATTTCTTAAGTTGTTGAAGACTGTGGAATGACTATGCTTGAGGAATAGATATTTCAATTTATATATGGAAAACATCTTCAATTAATGTTTTATATTAAAAACACGTTCCGATTTAGAGTGCATATTCCTTTATCTGTCTATACCTGACCCATCTTATTATGATAGCGTTCTGTTTTAATGCGATCAGATGGACCAATGATTATTTTTTATGATTGTGTTGTATATTATTTTGTACATCTTTTAGTATCTTAGTTCCTTTTGAGTTTTTAAATTTTAAGTTAAATTCACTTCGGAAGGTCATACTTCCAATTTATTCAGTTTATTTTTTTAATTGAGAACAGTTGTATCGTTATAATAAAATAATAAATTATATTGTAATAATAGTAATAATAATAATACTTATTAATAATACCATGATTGTTATTGACTATTAAATCAATATTTATGCAATTGAGCACAAAATCTAAAAGAAAATAGAATATCTATGATTATAGCATTAATTAATATAGTATAGTATGTGTCGTATGTTATTATGTATAACTCTTATTTTATCATACGCATGTGTCATGAGCGTCATGACCCAATTGTGGTAGTAAAGTTTGGTATTATGCTATAATTATTTGTTGAATGTCAATTATTTATTTGAAAAGAGTTCATTTTAATATCACGTGGACTACTTCATGGACACAAGACTTAGTACCATTTTATTTTTATTTAGTTAAAATGAATGTTGGTTGTAATATTTTCATGACTGCTGCTAACTTTTTATTTCAGATCGAATTAGCAGATGATAATATTAAGAACAATATAAGAACGTATGTATTTGATGTAGTAAACTAACCTAAAGCGTGAAAACAAATTATCTATGTTGTCGATGTTTTGTAAAGATCAATAAAAAAAAACAAATTAATGATATAGTGTTCTGGCAGTGATGTGATTAAGAAAATTAATTTATATTAAATTATGTACTTAGTAATTATCAATATTTTAGCGTCCTAAATATATTAAATAAATGAAGGGAGACGTAATTAAATACTTATTGTTAAACTAAAATCATATATTATGAAATCCTGTAGTGTTTATAATATTTTATAAAATTTCTTTCAGCTATGAAAATCAAATAGGCCGTATATTACATTTCATTAGTCTAGTTTTAAGTATGTCTTTGCAACTGTGGTTATAAAATTAAAAGAGACGAAACAATAATATATTTTAAATTCTCCATTTAATAATAGACCAATTTCAAAAATAGATAAGGTTTAATAAACCATTTTTTGAAATATTTGTTTATCTTAAGTATGAAGCTTACCAGGTATTAATCTACAATAATGTATTTTTTTTTGTGTCTGGACTTGAGATAACTTTTTAATTACTGTGTTTATTTCTTCATACTATTTTGTACTGTTTACAGACCAGAAATCATAAACCAAAGCTTCTTTAAAAGCCATAAAGCTACTCCTATCGTTCAAAATTGACAAAAACAACATGGGAGTTGTTTGATTTTTCCTAATAATTGTGACCTGACCCAATTGTGGTTCGTCCAAACTGTGCTCGTTTTTTATAGTTTAGTATTGTTTCTACACGTTATTATATTAAGTAGATTTTTTCGATTTCTTAATTCATTTATGTCGGAATGCTACATTAACAAATTGTTTTGATTTTTAAGGCAGTCATATCAAAATAAAAAGATAAAATTTAGCAATCCTAATAAAAACACGTTTAAGGTATGATAATAGTGAATGACAACCTAATTTTTTATAATGTTATGATAATTTATTATAATCTAATTTTATGGCCATATTACATTTTCAGCTTAAGTCGTGTGATCGAATCAACATTTAACTGGTACATATCTGAAAAACATATATATGATCTTGTTGATTACGATGTAGCCTTAAATAATGGTAATAAATTGTTAGGAAAGACAGACGATCGACTCTAATCGTATTTATCCTGTTATTGAAAATATAATTTTTTTATGACGTTAAGTTATTATTATTAATGTATCATGAATTTCTCAATCGTCTAGTCTAAAAAATTGTAATGATACTTTTAAAATTTTTTTTAATTTAATGTGGCAATCGGATATATAACAGATATAATAAATAGTGAATAGTAGATAGTAACAATAACAATAATAATAAAAAAAACATTAGTAATAATAACAGAAATATTATAGTTTTATATTATAAATTATCAAACAAATAGGGTAAAAACAAATGCAAACATTTGGTTAAGATTTATAAAAAATAGATAGATTAAACGATGGAGTCCGTCTATGCCTCTTCCAAATTGTGATAGTGGGCATTCTTGTGCAACATGTTTGACTGTCTGCGCCTGACCGCAAGCGCAGTCTGGTGAATCCACCATCCCCCATTTATGTAATAGGTAATTGCACTTACCCTGCTTCGTCCGCACTATGTTGAGTATCGCCCACTATTTTATTGGAAGAACCTAAAAAAATAATAATACATTTACAAACACAATAAATTGTCATCGAATTATTTTTCTCTATTACATTTTTTTTATCATGTACAGTTTCGCATCGAAAAGTTCATAAGTTTAAAAGTGGTTTGATAAATAATTCTCAAAGACTCTGTGCTGTTTTTTTAAAAATTAAATTGCAGTAATGTAAATAATTTTTATACATTTTGACTGTTTTTAATTTTTTTTGAATTCAACATATTCGTGGTCTATAATTTATTAATAGTAAAGCCATTTATTAGTAATAAATTTTGATGTTGATACATCACAGCTAATAGCTATGTTATCTGATAGTTAGAAAACGAATGTTACACTAAACGTTTACTTCTTGATACAATTTCAGTATTTTTTTCTCTTTTTTTGACTTCTCGCGCGATTAACAACGATTGAAAGTATCATGTTGTCCGTGTGGTCAAATTTTTTGGAAACGAGGGCCGTCGGAAAAAAGAGTACAGCCAGTCCCACTCAACGATAACCCTGGTAATCAGACTGTAGATAAAGAAAAAAAATTATGCTCATAAATTGAATAAACAATGATGATTAGATACTACGAAAACTCACTGGACCCCATCATATTTGATAATGTATACTAAAAATTAAAAATCTCTAACTGTCTATACATTGTGCAATTTCAATTTTCTCTTTGTAATTAAAATTTAAAAGTCTGTTTCTAAAAAAATCATAAGACGTGTGGGTAGTATTGATTACACCTATTTGTCTGTAAAACAGTAGGTATAGAATGTAACAACTCCGGAAATTTAATTGTTATTACTCAAATGATTATAACGTTTAAGATTTATCCGTTAAAAAAAATGTATAGTTGCTTATACATGACAGTTGAACGTGTATTTATAAATAAGTATACAATACGGAGTAACGGGTAACTAGAATTGTTTTTTTTTTCAACAATTTTTTTATTAAAAAAATTTCAATGTGGTATGTTTATTTTAGTAAAAACTAGTTGCTTAACAATTAGGTGTAAATATTGACCGAATAGTCAACTTATAAAAACACAGTTGTCCTGGCAAAAAAAAAAAATAAATAATCAAACATATTTTATTATCAAAACAATACTTGATGCATACAAATTTAAACCACAATTTACAGTATATTTATAATTATTGACCAACATCTTCCGCAGAAGTAGTTTTCTAAATCCCTACTAACTTTTTAATTTGCAGAAATAGTGATAACATTTTTACTCGCCTTGACTTTAAATATCAAATTTTTTATAGTAAAACGCTTTAGAATTAAAAAAAAAATTTGAATAAAACATTTAACTATAATATTTGTTTAATAATAATATTAATCGAATAAAAGTAAAATTTATAATATAAGTAAAAGGAAAAACATAAATAAGATTAGTGTTGATATTTATTTTAGGATTTTTAGGAAAATCATAATAAAAGACAGAATAATAAAACCAATAAAATGCGTAATACTGTAAGAAAACTTTTTTTTCCCAAGATACAAGCCATCATAAACACATAAAATATAAGAACAATGATGGTAGTAATTTTTGGATATTTTGGAAAATGATAATAAAGACAGAATAATGATACCAATAAACAAAATTCAATATTTAAAAATCAACAGCTTTATTTTAAATTTCACAGTTTTATTTTGTACTAATTAACAGTTATTGCACAAATTAGCAGCCACATGGTGCAGGGAGAGGTAATGGAAGTGGTGCTGGAGCAGCGCATGGAGCTGGAGCAGGTGGGGTGAGCAACAAGCTCAAAAGAGCTGGGCTAATAGCTGGGGCAGCTGGAGCACATGGAGCCGGGAGTGGGAGTGGAAGTGGAGCTGGAGCTGGGAGAGGGAGAGGAAGTGGTGCTGGAGCAGCGCATGGACCTGGTGCTGAAGCGGCCAAAAGCGGTAATAGGCTCAGTAGGGCTGGGCTAAGAGCTGGAGCACATGGAGCTGGGAGTGGGAGTGGGAGAGGTGCTGGAGCTGGAAGGGGGAGAGGGAGGGGAAGTGGTGCTGGAGCAGCGCATGGAGCTGGAGCAGGTGGTGCGAGCAAGAGTGGCAACAAGCTCAGGAGAGCTGGGCTAATAGCTGGGGCAGCTGGAGCACATGGAGCCGGGAGTGGGAGTGGGAGAGGTGCTGGAGCTGGGAGAAGGAGAGGGAGGGGAAGTGGTGCTGGAGCAGCGCATGGAGCTGGAGCAGGTGGTGCGAGCAAGAGTGGCAACAAGCTCAGGAGAGCTGGGCTAATAGCTGGGGCGGCTGGAGCACATGGAGCCGGGAGTGGGAGTGGGAGAGGTGCTGGAGCTGGGAGAGGGAGAGGAAGTGGGGCTGGAGCAGCGCATGGACCTGGTGCTGAAGCGGCCAAAAGCGGTAATAGGCTCAGAAGGGCTGGGCTAAGAGCTGGAGCACATGGAGCTGGGAGTGGGAGTGGGAGAGGTGCTGGAGCTGGAAGAGGGAGAGGGAGGGGAAGTGGTGCTGGAGCAGGTGGTGCGAGCAAGAGTGGCAACAAGCTTAAGAGAGCTGGACTAATAGCTGGGGCGGCTGGAGCACATGGAGCCGGGAGTGGGAGTGGAAGTGGTGCTGGAGCTGGAAGAGGTAGTGGGAGTGGAAGTGGAGCTGGAGCAGCGCACGGGCCTGGTGCTGAGGATGCTAAAAACGGTAATAAACTCAGAAGAGCCGGGCTTATAGCAGGAGAAGCTGAAGCACATGGAGGTGGGATTGGAAAACCGCAGGGCACGCATTGAACCTACATTCGAACAAATATTTTTAAAAATCGTACAATGTAACAGTTACTTAATTTAGAAACTTACCTGTGATACTATAGCAATAGCTATTACTACAACGAACTTTACGGCGACCATTTTTACTATTTTAGTTTGTGACTTAAACTTAGAGTTAGTTGTCGGACGTATGATGCTCAGAATAATGTTGAAAGACTTTTTATACCTGTTTGATGAGAAATATATGTTTCGGTTTCAGACACGTTTCCCACTTAATATAAGTGGTTATCAATGATTTTGCTTTCGACAACAATTTGATAAAACCGATAATGTAGGAGTTGCCTTCAAATTTAAAAGTAATAATGATAGCTATTTAAAATGTGATTGCAGACAAAGTAAAATTAATTGATTTAACTTTTTTCTTGCTTGTGATTGGGCAAAATTTTAATCTATCAAATCGAAATTTGATAATTTAATAAACAGAAATGATCTTTAGAGGAGGTTATACTCCCTATTTATAAAGGAGTACTGTAAAGGCAATTTTTTGAAAAATACTAATAAGCAAACAAAATAAGTATATTTATAGTTATAGTCATTAGAATTCTTTATTGGTAATTTAGTATATTATCAGATCAGTGCAGTGCCCTAGGCAACGTTTGATCAAGTTCCTAGTGTAAACATCGTCACAGACCTATACAGAACGCGCTTGTTCGGTCTACAACGGGTTTTTCGCAGAATATAAATTGAAAAATGTTGAAATTTTATTACAGAAGTTTCTTCGATATATTTAACAATTATCCTAATATTTGTATGTTGAAAAATTACTTTTTTAAAATTTTTTTTTTTATAAACTGTGATGACATTATTTCAAGGAAATATTAAAAAAAAGGATATATGTCATTGTCTTCAAAATGTTGTTCTCTTTTATATTAATTTTATATTAATTTTTGGTAATCATGCAATAAAACCATTATGGCCCAAATAAATAAATAAATACATTTTGCTTAGTTAGGATTGTACGCTTAAAATCAGGAGGAAGACATCCTCTATATGTCTAAGAAGGAGCGATTGCTTTTACTTCAAGGTACCGAATCGTTCTATTTATTTCTCTCTACTTTAACCCGTTGCATTACTATTATTTCATCCATTTTTTTAAAATGTACTGTTCTTCTTTGTATTTTATTTTTCATTTGTAATATAGATGAATAGATCATAGCTGTTTTGGCTTTCATGAATAACTTATATAACCGACATTACTTACTTTTTCTTACTGATATTGGCGAGCGACATCAAAATAAAAACACCCGTAAGTTGCCCAACCTACGTGTATTAAAAACGATTTATATCGTTGACATTTAAGTTAAACTTTTTTCATATGTTGATCATATTGTATTGATGTCAAATTTGTATTCTAAGTTTACTAAATTTCTAGGTGTTACGTGCATTATGATGGCTGCAGTATTTTCGTTGGAGGTAAGGGAGTTAATATTTTGGTGTAAAGACTGACCAGCAGGTAATATTAGTACCGGTTTAAACTTGGAGTGGACAGACCAAAATATGCATGCATTTATGCACCAACAAATTTATAAAAATTAATTTTTAAATTAATGTAAAACGGCATTTATGGTTGACTGAAAAAAGCTATGTAAATATAAATTAATTGATAAAAATAAAAAAAAAGTTAAGTGTAGCCAAGCAACCAGTATTGGATCAAGACATCTAAATGTTCAAATTTTAGTATTAATTTTTAAAAGTTTAAAATCGTCTAACCATTATGTTTACCTTTTTATTTATGCTTAATGTAATTTTTGTTGATATTCCTTATATTATTTTCATTTATACAGAATGATCAGCCGTTATTTATCGCAAGACGCGTTTTTTTTTTTACTTAGATTTGTTAGTTTTTCAACATTTATTTTATATTATAAATATTTAAATCGATTAGTTAAAATGTTTAAAACGCTATAATTAACTTAAAAAAGTTACATAAATTCCACGTGTTACAAATAAAAAAAAATACTTTTTAATTAGAGAATAGAGTAGAGGTAATTGTTCATCGATAAAACCTTAATGACAAAGTATCACAATAAAAATATTTAATGTTTTTTTTACAGTTCACTGAGTTGCATTGTGTCAAAGCGTTTATTTAAAAGTGAGTTTATCACATTCAGTTATAATTTTTCCTAAATAACTTATAACCTCTTAGACTCTGCTGTACTGGCTTCTTTTTACTGTACGTAGTATATTATAGATGCATAAAATATTTCTATATTCACTGGTATGATTGTAGATCTGAACTCTTTATCTAAAAAAGTATATCAGTTGTAAAAACACTATCTATACTTCATAAACATAAATAACGATTTCCAGGTTGTACTAGTTTTGAATGAAGAACCTGATTTTGCATTAGGTCATTTCAAAGAGATTCCATTAAAAATGCTTATTCTGTAATTTACTAGGTTCATAACAGTAGAAGTCCTACTTATAAGCGTGATCTTTCTTTTAAGATTTTATTTTTTTCTGAAAAGTTGGCAAATTCTAACTTAGGTTTTTCTGGTTCTGAGGTAGATATTTCCACATTTTTGCAATAACGTTATATGGCAAACACAAATACTGTAAGAAAAACTATATTTTTCCTAGATACATAAACACATAACATATAAGAACAATGATGGTAGTCATTTTTGGATGTTTTGAAAAATGATAATAAAGACAGAATAATAATACCAATAAACAAATTCAATATTTAAAAATCAACAGCTTTATTTTAAATTTCACAGTTTTGATTTGTACTAATTAACAGTTATTGCACAAATTAGCAGCCACATGGTGCTGGGAGAGGTAATGGGAGTGGTGCTGGAGCAGCGCATGGAGCTGGAGCAGGTGGGGTGAGCAACAAGCTCAAAAGAGCTGGGCTAATAGCTGGGGCAGCTGGAGCACATGGAGCCGGGAGTGGGAGTGGGAGTGGGAGGGGAGCTGGAGCTGGGAGAGGGAGTGGAAGTGGTGCTGGAGCAGCGCATGGACCCGGTGCCGAAGCGGCCAAAAGCGGTAAAAGGCTCAAAAGGGCTGGGCTAAGAGCTGGAGCACATGGAGCTGGGAGTGGGAGTGGGAGAGGTGCTGGAGCTGGAAGAGGGAGAGGGAGGGGAAGTGGTGCTGGAGCAGCGCATGGAGCTGGAGCAGATGGTGCGAGCAAGAGTGGCAACAAGCTTAAGAGAGCTGGACTAATAGCTGGGGCGGCTGGAGCACATGGAGCCGGGAGTGGGAGTGGAAGTGGTGCTGGAGCTGGAAGAGGTAGTGGGAGTGGAAGTGGGGCTGGAGCAGCGCATGGACCTGGTGCTGAAGCGGCCAAAAGCGGTAATAGGCTCAGAAGGGCTGGGCTAAGAGCTGGAGCACATGGAGCTGGGAGTGGGAGTGGGAGAGGTGCTGGAGCTGGAAGAGGGAGAGGGAGGGGAAGTGGTGCTGGAGCAGCGCATGGAGCTGGAGCAGGTGGTGCGAGCAAGAGTGGCAACAAGCTTAAGAGAGCTGGACTAATAGCTGGGGCGGCTGGAGCACATGGAGCCGGGAGTGGGAGTGGAAGTGGTGCTGGAGCTGGAAGAGGTAGTGGGAGTGGAAGTGGAGCTGGAGCAGCGCACGGGCCTGGTGCTGAGGATGCTAAAAACGGTAATAAACTCAGAAGAGCCGGGCTTATAGCAGGAGAAGCTGAAGCACATGGAGGTGGGATTGGAAAACCGCAGGGCACGCATTGAACCTACATTCGAACAAATATTTTTAAAAATCGTACAATGTAACAGTTACTTAATTTAGAAACTTACCTGTGATACTATAGCAATAGCTATTACTACAACGAACTTTACGGCGACCATTTTTACTATTTTAGTTTGTGACTTAAACTTAGAGTTAGTTGTCGGACGTATGATGCTCAGAATAATGTTGAAAGACTTTTTATACCTGTTTGATGAGAAATATATGTTTCGGTTTCAGACACGTTTCCCACTTAATATAAGTGGTTATCAATGATTTTGCTTTCGACAACAATTTGATAAAACCGATAATGTAGGAGTTGCCTTCAATTCATAAAATGATAATGATAACAATCTGTTTATTTTTGATGTATGATTAAAAAACATAGTAACATTATAATAATAATATTCTTAGTACCGAATTTATGAGCACTTATGAAATATAAATAATATATAATTATAAATTACAATTTAAGATTATGTTTTGTACAATTTTAAAAATTAGTAGTAAAAGTGACTGGTAATAAAAGAAATATTATTTTGCGATAATATTATTGGTTGATTCTTAAGTGATGTTTGTATAATATTTTCTCCAAATAACTTGATTTCGAGTACTAGAATCTTGTGCTGTGAGTTCTAATGAGTTTATTGCCAAAACATCAGATCCTTTCCTTGATCTTGCGTTTTCGCATCACTTTTATTAACGCTATTAGGTATTAATAAAGGGAAATAGAGAAGATCTCGTGTATGAAAATAATAAAAAGTTTAAAAGCAAATCCCTACTAACATTCTTTACCATATAACTCGTTCCCTAGTAAATCTTATAACATTAGTGAGGTAGTATCTAACATAGTAAGAAGCTAACATACTACAATAAATAAAGTCAATAGTTGCTAAGTTCCTATAAAATCAAATTCAAGAAAACGCTTCGATGCGAATCTGTGGTTACTGGACACAACTTTAGTAATTTCTTACTGTACTGATTTAGACAGTACTTGCTTTGTACTATACTAGTTTAAACTTTACTTTTTTGGACTGTACTGGTTTACCCGGTTCTTGGTTTGAACCGTACATAAATAGAACCTAATCTATACTCTACGGGTTTAAGCTATACTGATGACTGTGCTAGGTTATACTATGTACAGATTCGCATAGAATCTTTCGAAAGTGATTAAATCACTTTTAAATTAAATAACCACATTGAACCACTATGCTAATTTATAATTGAGCTTGGTTTATACTGTACTAGTTTAGACTGCACTGGCTTAAACTGTGCTTGGTTTTTTTATAATAATAATTTACATAAATTTAACAAATTAATATATCATACAAAATGAAGATTATATTGGAAATGTGTACAAGTCATAAAAGTAACATACAGCAATGTACAACATAACATTGAACAAATTATAAAGGCACAGAGATTAATAAAAACATACTATTCATAAATATTAAATACACTATTAAGGTTCAAAAATTAATAAAATATAGAAATCAAAAACAATAAAAAATTATAATGACACAAAAAATAATAAAATATACAATTCATAAGTATTAAAAAAATATATAAAAATTAATTCTTAAAGCTACTTTTAATTTGAGGAAATATGTTATTTTAGAATTAATTAATAATCCGTAAATCGTAATATGAATAAATGTAATATTAACAATAGTAAAAAGTGATAAAAGCGATTCTAATACAAATTAAAACACAGCATACAAATTAACATTATTTACACTTTAACAACACATAACAATAATTATGGTAAAAATATAACATTTTTTAAAATGAATTAATTTGTCCTTTATTAAATATTATATATATATATATTGTTGTCTCCTTTGATAAATTTTAAAGTTCAATTGTATTTTTTTTATAAGTCTATTTTTTTGTTGAACATCAGTCAGGGCGTTTCTGTATTAATTTTTTTTTCCAACTCGTCTAGTTCATTCATTATCAATAAGTGTTAAATGTTATTGCTAAAAACATACACATATTTAAAAAAAATCTGTCTCACATGACTAAAATGTTTGAAAATAATAAAATAGTTAATATTCACAAGATATAATAACTTTACTTTAATAACAAACGGTGCAGTCTCCATTTTATATTAGGTACTACAGTATGCTAGTATAGTATATCGGTACTATGTGTCTAATACTACTGGTACCAATGACAATAAGTTATATATATTTATAATTTTTAGCTTCGATGAGGAGCTGAGAAGGTATTGTTTTTACAATGATGTGTTTTTATTTTTGTATCTGGTACCATGATATCTCGTAAACCGCTGAACCGATTTCTTCGTGTAGCAACTCTATAGATCAGAAATCATACCTGAAAGGTACTTTATCAGGCCAAAAATTAAAAAAAGTCACCTCTTCCCCATCAAAATCGAGAAAAACTCCTAAAAAACTTTTCAACTTAAAATTACGATGCTCTATAACTTTTTTAAAAATAGTCAAAAATGTTCCAAATTTATATGAATTTTTCTTTAAACATAGTACAATCGATAAACATTGACAAACCAAAAAAATATCATAAACCCTTTCCCTTCGTAGGGATAGAATTTTTTTCTTTATTTCACTTTTTCAAGCAAAGTTTTAGAATTAGATCTGAAAAATTAGACCAAAGGTAGATCTAAAATGGAACTATAACATATACAATTTTCTAAAAAATCTGTAGTCAAATTTTATTTTTATTAAGGAAAAACCCCAAAAATAGGGTAAATTTACACTTTGGCCGTAGTCAGTTTCTAGGTTGCTATGTGCGAGTGAATCAACAGTCATAAGGTAATGAAAATATTTTCATTATATTGTTAATTACGATATATGGGTAACTATGACAGTACATTTTTATAGACAGACGATCAACCCTTATCGTATCCACCCTGCACAAGACTAAATATTAAATTTTAAGTACATTATTGCTGGTCCCACGATATCTTCTAAACCGCTATAACTGGGTTGAACATAATATCCACAGATTTGCATCGAAGCGTTTATTTAAAAGTGATTTTATCACTTTCAGTTATAATAAAATCTGTAGACCTGTGACCTCTCCTTCCCCACTATGCCCCGACACCACTGTACTGGCTTTTTTTTAAATGTAATTTTCTTTTGATTTTGTATGGAATGTTTTTAATAACCAATAAAATATTTTTAGCTATAGAATATAATGAGCGATATTGTTGAACAGTATACATTTGGGGAGGAAATTTGAGGAGATTAATTTTTATTTTGATAAAAAAAATATTACCGATGTTTCATTTCTTTGGCTTCCCATATTAGTTGAACAAAGATAAGGATAAAATATTGTATTATTTGAACTCAAATATAAATCTAAATTTGTTACTTTATTTTGAATCTATCTAATTTGTCTGGACTTTTTAAGATTAAAAAACCACAAAATTTTCCTGATTTCAGTTTAAACGATAATGGTATTTTTCAGTAAAATAAGTAGAATTTTTAAGTCTATCTGGTTAATCTAGAGGAACGTAACTCGTTAGTATGCCAACCGTATTTGCTAAAATGTACCTGCATGTTTGCTGGGAAAAACTCTTTCTTTAGAACAAATATTTTTCAAGAAACCATTGTGGACCAAGAATATAATATAATTGTAACTAGTTAAATACTTTATGTATAAAAAAAGTCTGAAAATGTGATTTATTATAATATAAAAAAAAAAGAATTGCCACTATTAGTGTTTAAATGCTTACAGATATTTAAGTCAAATTATAATATTGATTAACTACCTAACGTATTAATCAATGACCAGTATTGGTATCTGAACCGACTTGTTCTAATAATTAAAAAACATCAATTATCGTTTTTACCTTATCTGGATCGAGCTGGCATTACTTTTAAAATAAGAACAATTCCTATTCAATTATTTGATTTATAATTTATTTATGACAATAAGTAGTTATTGATGATGGTCATGGGACTTATTATAATAAATGTGTGTTTGTTAATATTTAAGAAATTGATTGAGTGTTCTATATTTTAAAATACTTTGCTGCATTTTAAATATGCCCATTTGTTCGACCAGTTCGAGAAGTAAATTGTTATTTTATGTAGAAATCAACCACTAAACAATTTAGGAAACTCTTGCTGACAGAACTATTTAACAATATTGTAAGAGCTAATAAAGGTTAATTATAAAAAAAATATTTTCATATAAATATTTTAGATTTCTTTGTATAAGGAAGTTAAAAGTAAAGAAAAAAGAATATTTCTTGTAAAATTTTTTAAATCATCATTTATATTTTTTAGTTAAACAATTAATTTTATACTGTTTAACAATCGTTGTATTAATTAACAACCACATGGTAATGGAAGAGGGAGAGGAAGTGGTGCTGGAGCAGCACATGGCGCTGGAGCAGATGGTGCTAGCAATAGTGGCAACAAGCTCAAAAGAGCTGGACTAATAGCTGGGGCAGCTGGAGCACATGGAGCTGGGAGAGGGAGTGGGAGTGGGAGTGGTGCTGGAGCAGCACATGGAACTGGAAGTGGGAGTGGGGCAGGTGCTGGTGCGATTGCTGGCAACAAAAGTGGCAACAAAAGTTTCAAAAGAGCTGGGCTAAGAGAAGGAGCAGCTGGAGCACATGGAGCTGGGAGAGGGAGTGGGAGTGGGAGTGGTGCTGGAGCAGCACATGGAACTGGAAGTGGGAGTGGGGCAGGTGCTGGTGCGATTGCTGGCAACAAAAGTGGCAACAAAAGTTTCAAAAGAGCTGGGCTAAGAGAAGGAGCAGCAGATGCACATGGAGCTGGCAGAGGTAGAGGGAGCGGAAGTGGGGCTGGAGCAGCACATGGAGCTGGGGCTGGGACTGGCAGAGGGCTGAGTGGTACTGGAATGAGTGCTGGAGGCGGAAGAGCGACTGGCAAAGGAGCAACACGTGGAGCTGGAGCAGATGGTGCTAGCAAGAGTGGCAACAAGCTCAAAAGAGCTGGGCTAATAGCGGGGGCAGCGGGGGCACATGGAGCCGGGAGTGGGAGTGGAGCTGGAGCAACGCAAGGAGCTGGGAGAGGGAGAGGCAGTGGAAGTGGTGCTGGAGCAGGTGGTGCGAGCAAGAGTGGCAACAAGCTCAGGAGAGCTGGGCTAATAGCTGGGGCGGCTGGAGCACATGGTGGAGGAAATGGAATACCACAAGGCAAGCATGGCTTAGCTTGAACCTAAATAAAAATCAAATGATTAATTAATTTTCTAAGCTAAAAGTAGCTTAGAGTATAACTAATAGAGCTTTAGTAGTAACTAAATAGTATTCATGTACATACCTGGGATACCACTGCAATAGCTACTGCCACTAAGATTTTAGCACCAATCATGTTTATTTTGTATGTATGAACGGTGGCTGTGAAATGATTGGTACTCGACTGTTTGGAGCAGCGAGTTTTATACGAAGTGTAAGAGTTATCTATATTTTATTTAGTGACACGTTTCCAGTGATTTAATTAATCTAAAAATTTGTTTATCTACTTATCTAAGTATTATCATTGAGTTTATATTATTTTGGTGTGAACTTTTTGAGGTCATCTATACATTTTTTACTTACAAACGTGAATTAATAATTTATCGACGTTAAAACTGTCAAAGTTAATTTTTTTTTTAATTTGTTGGCGTGTTATTCGTCAAAATAAATTGATTTGTTATATTTGCTGGTCTTGACCATTCACGTCAGTTACACGGATTATATGAAAAAGCGTGCACACTTAATTAAGTTCCCTCAAGACGGTCACACTGATTGATTTAGCCCCGAGTAAACAATCCATTTTCGTATAATCGTTGGTCGTTTATAGTTACCTGGTTTTACGATGCTTATATGAAATGTAATAGTATTTTGTCACTTTGGTAATGCTGTTTCATAATATCTACATTGTCAATCCAAACAATTTATATTTACAAATTGTTTTGTGCATAGTCAGCATTTGCGTGAACCCCTACTTATTTTTACTTAATTGTTGTTTACCAGTATTATTTGATGCTACATCGTTTATTATTTATTAAGTAGAAAATATTGAATTGTGCCATTAAATACAGAAATAAGCACCGTGAATATTAATTTGGAAAATTATACTACTAAATTGTACACTATTGTAAGTTGTGTTTTGAAATGAACGGCGTTCGTAAGTTTTTTCAAGCAGGCCTATTTAGCCGTTTAGAGTACTAAAAAAATAAAATTAATTCCTACACAAGAATATTACACAAAATATACATTTTATAATAACTTATAAAATTGAATATATTCTAACTAGTGTACTGGCCGACATTGTCTTTTTAAATAAAATAAAGTATACAAAATTATAAAAAAAACTTGAAACGACCTTTACAAATTATTATTTAATCATTTTTTGTTTGAAAACTAATTTGTAATAAAAAGACATTCACAGTCCGCATAAGGCTTTGATTTTTAACATATTAAAATGATTTACTTCATTCTTGGGAAGAGTTTAAGTATAACTATTTATAAAACTTTTTTTTCAACTGGATTTATTGTTTATTTTTGTAACAATATTGAAAATTGAACACCTATATGCGGACCAAAAGAAATCTACCTTTCCAAAAAAAAAATCTTACTGACTGTATGTATTATAAATATTGCCATTTTCTTATTTTCAATTTTTTTTTTAAATCTCTTAAATACATATGGGTTTATTGTTATAGATTGTTTAATGTTCTGTGATTAGAGGTGGGAAATGAGGGATCAAAGCCCTTTAAATTGGCACTTTTTTAGCAATGTCACCTGGTGAAATCTTCTTAAAAAATTTACACTGATGTACAATATTCAATTTACTGTACTGTTACAAATAGAACTTTTAAATCTATGCTACTAGACAACAGATTCCTCCCAAATAACAATATACTTGAACTTTATACATTTTATTGTATGCAGACAAGGATATTGGTTCTCAGCATTCAGTACCATCTCTCTTGTCTCAGACATTGGAAGATCGGTGCACGGTAAAACACAAGGAAAAAGCGAGGGAGATGTCCAGTGTATCGATTTCCGAAAAATTAGATGAAAATATAAGATCATTAAAATGGAAGAAAAAAACGATTTCGCTTATACTAAAAAGCGTTAAAAATGATCTTTTTGAAAAAGGTAGGTAAAATGTTTGCAAGTTGCGATTTACAACATTGATTTTTTGTTCTAAAACAAAATTTAAACATTTTTAGCTTTTTGCATAAGCATGTAATAAAGAAATGAGACGTAAATTATTCTTCTTATAAAATAACAACGAATACATAGTATTATAATTGTTAATTTAGTCATTTGTGTAATTAGACGAAGTAACTAAACCTCCGTCTAAAAACAACAATCTGAGGAAAGGCGAAAAAAATTCAATGTCTACTCAAAACAGTGAAGTTCGTGTTGATTCGATTTCTAAAAAGTCGGGCTTAAAAAATAGTGATAAGAGTTGGAAGGAAAATACTATTTCGCTTATACTGAAAAGTGTCAAAGAGGATCTTTTCGTAACAGGTTCAACAAATAGCTATCATATAATAAATAAATTTGTAAATTATAAATACACAATTATAATTATAATTTATGAAAATTACTTCAGTTAAGAGATTAGAAGTACTAGTAATTTTCAAATATTCAATTTTTTTTAAATCTCTTAAATACATAGGGATTTATTGTTTAATGTTCTGTGATTAGAGGTGGGAAATGAGGGATCAAAGCCCTTTAAATTGGCACTTTTTTAGCAATGTCACCTGGTGAAATCTTCTTAAAAAATGTACACTGATGTTCAATATTCAATTTACTGTGATGTTACAAATAGAACTTTTAAATCTATCCTACTAGACAACAGATTCCTCCCAAATAACAATATACTTGAACTTTATAATTTTTATTGTATGCAGATAAGGATGTTGGTTCTCAGCAGTCAGTACCATCTCTCTTGTCTCAGACATTGGAAAATCGGTGCACGGTGCCAAAAAAGAGGACAATCATGCCGGAGGACTTGGACGTGGAAATCATTAAGCGATTTCGAAACCTCACGGACCTAATCGAAAAAGAGATAAACCGACCTAAACAAAGTATAAAAAAAAAAATAGTATTCTAATAGTATTGCGATCAGTCAAAGACTATTATAAAATCATAAGAAAACTGTTGGTAACTGTACAGTTTTTTACATGCCATAACGGTTAGACCAAACTAACGAGACAAATTGAAAGTGCGAGTAACATTATTGGGGGTTTTTTTATGAAAAAAAATACACAGTATCGATTACGGTTAACACCGTGGCACTGTCTGTTTCAGTGGAACCGAGTATAAGAAAATCCAAATCCAATGATATACAAGTTAAATGGCGTTGTAATCAGAAGGGTCCAGTCAGCGTGGAAGACCAAAGAGATAAAAGTTTGATTCCGAATTTATACATATTTTATTTTAGGACAAAATATTAACGTTTTAGACCAATGCGGTTTTATACATTTTCGGGTGCCTTGTGTAGAAAAGAAAGATGTACTTTCGAACGTCAAACAACGAAATAACAGCTTGCAACATACGGTCGCCTCGAGTAAAGAGAAAAATAATAGAATTAAAGTAAATTACCAAAATCGTTCGGGTAACCCGAACACTAACATATTGGTGGAAATTATTTCGATGATGGAAAAAGAAAACCAGAAGAAGAAATGTACAGACTTAAACAGTTCAATTAACTTTGATTAATGAAAGGGAACCTCAAGAAGGCCCTTTCAAGAACCACTGGCACACCCAATTTTGTTCACATTACTATAGATCTAAGTCATTGACCAATAAACAATTTAGTCTTTAAACTGATTGAAGGTTCTGTTTTTTCATGGTTAAAAAAAAACAAACCCCTTATTATTATGTAGAACTATAACCCCGTTAATTAGTAACGATACAATTATAGATTTCTATAATATTTTATCGATATTTTTACATAAAGAAAAATAATGAAAATTTTTAGTTAGTCGACAACTGACTCGAAATAATTCAACATTTGATATTATTACTTATGGCGCCTGTGTTATCCTTCGAATTCTCCAATACAACGATAAAAAGGAAACATTTATAAATATTAAGAAATTGGTATTCCGCTATGAAATGTGTCCTTCTAACAGTGAATCTGAGTACAGAGTGATACATCTCCGTTTGATAAAAAACAAAAAAACTATCACTTCCGATAAGATAACAGTAATATTTATACTCGGCAAAAGATTACTAGTATTATAAACGTGAATTCTAAACGAAAATAGACAATGAATGACCGGTAAAAACAAAAGATTAACTATTAAAATAAGCCTTGGGAACAAATGATAAAAAAAACAAAAGATTAATGAAAGCTAGTTAAAAAAGAAAACTATCACGAACATAAAAAATGTATTAATAATAAGAAAAATTAATTTTAAGTATTTCTTTTTTAAACAATGAACAATTTAGGCAAAATAAAGTTGACAAAATGTCAGTCGATATACGAATTTAATACAACTAATAACATGTGAATTCATACGGATCGAAAAAGACAAACCTTTCTACAATTAAACAAATAACAATACATTTTAGAAACATGATCAGTACAAAATGCATGGAAGATATAAATCTAATCACTGTAACATGGCATCGGTTCGGGAATTCGTTGATTTGAAATATTATAATCAAAGTAAAAATGCATCTTCGATAGAATAAAAAAAAAATGATGAAAAATCAAAAAAACAAAGTATCAAATTTCAGGTATCGACAAAAAAAAACTATGACGCAAAATTTACTGACAAATTTTACATTCACAAGTAGGAAGCAAAGCGTTTTTTACATACAAAATTCAATTTTTTCAGAATAGCCTTCAATAATTTTCTAATGACGATTGTGTATTTCATTTTTAAACACAACTAAATGAAAACCGGAGACTGCACATGATAAAGGTTTAAAACCGATGTTACATTTTATTCGTTTTTATAATTATATTATATGATTCAATTCAGCTAGCAATACAATGTGCCTGGAATGACTTGAAAAATTAAGTACTATAATAATATTTAACAGCCAAGAGGTGTTAAAGATTGTAGAATAGCAAAAATCAGATCCGCTCTAAGGAAACTATTTTTCAGTTAATATTATAAATATTTTGATTATGAGTCACGTATTATGTTTTTCGATTAGTATTGATTAGAGTGCATTTCTTAATGTTTTTTTATTACTAAATTCTATATGCTTAACAAGAATGCTAAATTATATAAATTAAACAAAAATAACTAGATTAAAATAAACATTTCTAAATATCTATAATCTTTACAAAAAAGAAAATTATACTCTCTAACTCAGAACAAAGCGAATGTGATGTATAAGTTCAATGAAGATAACAAAAATAATTAAATAAAGAAAAATCGATTTTTTTAAAATATAGTTATGACAGACTGAACAATGAAAAATACTTACAAATGTAGACTGTATGTATTTATAAGTATTTTTCATTGTGGATAGGGTTTTCTCATAATTATATAGTAAGTCTACAATTACTCTTACTACTATTTAAATTGACTTGAATTTTTAAAAATTAAAAAAAACGTGGTAATCAGTTCCCATAGTTTATTTCAAGTAAGAAAAATGGGTTCAGATAAATTTAGAAAATATGGAGGCGACTAAAACTACCAATCTCGGTAATAGCTTTGACATATAAATTATTTAACTGTTTATTACTTCCAAATAAATAAGTTGGCCTTTCAACAAATATACATAACGAACAACATAGTTTTTCGGTTTATTTTTTAATTAATATAGTTTTAATTTTTTTTTAAATTTATTATGTACGGTGTGAATTTAAAATCATAAGCAAGTGGGAGTTGGGGGGCAAGTAAATTGTGTTAACAGTTGATTCTGGTTTAGAGGACAACACGGTGGACTCGGAGTGGTTGGAGTAAGAGGGTTCGTTAGTGAAGCCAGAAGATATAGAAGAGCTAGTGGATTGACTGTTGGCAGCGGCTGTGGACAGGGCGTAGGACATACTGACGGGATCACTAGGGGCTTGAGTTCTAAACGAATCAACGCCGGAGACGGTGGGAAGCACGGATTGAATGACAGTGCAGGAGGTAAGCACACTGGTAGAAAGTTGAAGACAGGAGTAGATGGAAAGACGCCGGTACAGGGTGGTGTAAATGTTACGGGCGCTTGCGGACCACAAGGTAACGATGGAACGTTACAAGCTGTCGGTGGCGGTGCTGGGACAGGTTCAGAGCAAGTAGGTGCAGCAGCTTTCAAAAACGGGAGTAAACTCAATATTGCGGGGCTTATACCTGCATCTGGACGAGCGGGAATTGGCGCACATCCGCATTGAAAACACAGTATTGCATTGATCTGAATACGAAAAAAAATTAAACATAATCAACTTATGCAAAATTACATTAGTTTGGAAATTATGTACCTTGACGACAAACAGCACAGCTACTACTGCTACGTAGGACAACATTTTTCTGAACGCTAAGTACTAACACACTTACTTAAGTGGTGAGTGTAAGTACACGATATTGTGACTAAATGATGTTTGAGTTTGAGGAGTCTTTGTCTTTTATACGCAAAAAGAGTTCATTTGTGTTCAATTATTGAAACTAAATACTATTATTAAACATTAAAAGGTCGAATATTGTGTTTTTAAAAAACATCAAACAGATAATAATCACTTCAAATACTAACACGTACTACGATGGTACAATATTGTTTGTCGTTTTTTTCATTCGAAGGTTTATTTTGTTTTACTACCTCTCATTATTATTATATAGTATTTATGGTGAACGTTAAGCTTGTTTATTATAAATTAATTACATTTGTAGACCACATTTAATAAATATTTGTTCCGAAACTAGATTTTTACATTTTAAAAACGTTTGTTATAATACTTATTTTAACTGTACGTAAACATCCACTTTAAGAAACACATGTTACAAAATCAATGATTATATTTATTATCCATTAAACATTTTTAAAAAATATTCTCTTTATAAAATTTGTTTTTATAAATTATACCCAAATTGTTATAATGTTTACTTGAATATCGAATGTTAAAGTTTGTTTAATTTTGGGCGATCGATGACCTAATAACAGACAACAGTATACCACATGCCTACATACTTTTTAAAAGTTGAACAGAACTATTTTTGCCTGATTATTTAAGTATAAATGATTTATGCTAACTCTTAAACTACTATGATTTTTTTTTTGTTTTGTAAACAGATAACACATATTATGTTCTTGCGAAGTCCATTACATTATGTATAATTTATTGTTCTGTGCGTTTAATATGTCAACTCGTTGTAATAAAATAAAGTGTCAACATGAGGTCAGGCAGTAGAAATTAGGTCGAGTATAGTGAAAATTCTGATCTATTAAATGGACTAAGCTAATTCTATTTAGATTTTTTACTGAAAAAAAACCTATCGTAACATTAAAACATGTGTAATATCTTAAAGAATAATGTTTATAGATAGCCGAGATTAATGATTTGATTTATTAGATTCTATTATACAATATAATTATTTATATTTATTAAATAGTACTAATATATTTAATAGTATAATTTAATATATTAACGCATCTTAAAGTACCACAAATATTTACTAAAAAATGACAATTCCGTCAATTCAAGTACGCATGAATACATGTATTATTGAACTTTTGGTTTGTTATTATTACTTCTGTAGTATGATTTCACTATTTGTCAATTTTATATTAATTATGCTAATAGAATTATGTTTTAATAGAGATTTTACACAAAGTGAGAGAATATTGTATGTCATTATGCTTTCATTATGAAGCAATTATATAACCTTTTCGCCTCCTCTCAACATACATGTTAACCAAAAATACATTTTTGGTTCAGTGTTTAGTTGCTAGTATCAAAGCGAATATTTATATTTATACTGTTAATGAAAATAGCAAGACAATTTTAGAATTTTAGTATCAATTAAAAACTCTAATCTACATTTATTTTCCAAAAAGTTGGAACAGTGATATATCAACTTATATAAATATAAATATAATAAAATATGACGAATGGTGTATGTTTTAAGGCGAAAAGCCTAATTTTAATATATAATATTGGTTATATCACAATATAGTAAAATTTAAGTAAATTTGTTCTATATACTTTCAATTGTAATACAGATTAAAATATATAATATTTAATATTGTAAAAATATTAAAATAAAACAATTTTTAAATAACATAAAAACAGTATCATACTGTCTGTTTTATTTTTAAATAAAATAACTAATAATTTAGCTTCACGAGAATTTGAAGTTTAAAATTCTAATAGTGATGAGTTAAAGCATAGCGTTGCAGTCGACAATGAGTTCATAGTGAAGAAAAAAGTGATGAAAGCTGCCGCTCAAGGATTGGATTTATACAAGTAGGTTCTCGTGGTAATACAAATTGGGTTTGAGATGTTGTAGGGCTTTGCGATTGGCCACGCGCTGAGCAAGGTGTAGAAGGAAGTAATGAAGCTGGCAGTGAAGACGCGGTTGATCTTGGTGGTAAAGGTACTGTTTGCCGATCTAGACCTAGAGTTGGATTTAACCCAGATGTTCCGTACGGTGTTGGAAGTGATACTGGACAAGAATATGGAGCTGTGGGCGAAAGTTGTCCAGGTAATGTAGAAGAAGCTGGAAATGGGGCTGTTAAAGGGGTAGAAGAAGACGTTGTACTAGATAATGGTGTAGGAGTAAAATTTGAAGATGATTCTGAAGATAAAAGTGACAACAGCTGGTTTAGATATGATGAACTAGAACTTTGCGTTGGCGCAGTTAGTGATAATGGAGTAGAACTTAATGTGGTGGGTGTAGCTACTGAGCTTGGAGCCGGCAAAGAAACTGTTGATGGAGTCGAGCCTAATGTTGGGGGAGTAAGAGACACAGGTTTAGAACATGGTCTAGAGGATACAAGTGTGGAAAGCTGGCTTGGATGAGCAGGACTAATGTTAGACGACCCATAAGATGTTGAAAGTGCAGCAGAAGCTGGATAAGTAGTTGGCAATGGAGCGGATACAGTGGTTGTTAGAAGAGGAGCGCTGGTGGGATGTGGGGCAGAAGAAGAACTCAAAGCCGGTCCTGAGGTTAAAAGTGATAATAGCTGGTTTAAAGTTGCTGGATTTGTGGTAGAACTTAGGCTTGACGTAGGAAATGATACTGGTTTAGAACATGGTGTGGTAGGTGCAGGTACTGAACGAGACGCCGGCAAAGGACCAGGATTAGAAGATGATGCAGTGACAGAATATGAAGACGTTCTTGATGGTACAGGAGAGGTAAACTGACCTTGAAGAGTAGGACTAATGTTAGATAAACCACAAGATGTTGAAAGTGGAGCAGAAGTTGACAATGGAGCGGATGTAGTAGTTGGTAGAAGGGGGGCGCTGGTGGGATATGGAGCAGGAGAAGAACAAGAACTCAAAGCCGGTCCCGAGGTTAAAAGTAACAATAGCTGGTTTAAAATTGATGGATTTATGGTAGAACCTAGGCTTGACGTAGGAAGTGATGCTGTAGTAGAACATGATGTGGAGGATGCAGATAAGGGACGAGGAGCCGGCAAAAGACCAGGATTAGAAGATGGTGCAGGGACAGAATATGAAGACGTTCTTGATGGTACAGGAGAGGTAAACTGACCTTGAAGAGCAGGACTAACGGTAGATGATCCACAAGGTGTTGAAAGTTGAGCAGAAGTTGACAATGGAGTGGACGCAGTAGTTGGTGAAAGAGGTGTGCTAGAGGGACTTGGTACAGGAGAAGAGCGCAATATCGATCCTGAGGATAAAAGTGATGTCAACTGACTTAAAAGAGATGGATTTGCAGTTACACATGATGTGGTTGGAGGGAGTGGTGTAGAGACGGGAGAAGGAGACGTCAATGGAGCTGGTATTGGGGTGGAATATGATATTGACTGGGAAGAAAGTGGAAGCTGGCTAAAAAATGGAGGCTTATAACTAGCTGATGACCCAAAAGCTGTTGAAAGTTGTGCAGGAGCTGAATATGTCGCTTGAGCTGAAGTAGAACAAGGAATTGTAGGAGGTTGATAGGTTGGGTTAATGTTTGGTGCAGGCGCAGAACTTAAAATGGACCCTGAAGATAATAGTGACGCTAGTTGGTTTAAAAGAGCTGTATTTATCCCAGATGTTGGTGTTGGAGCTGGAAGTGGTGCACCAGGAGAAGGTGGTAGTCGATAAGAAAGATTAATAGGTCCACTTGAAAATCCACATGGATCCGCTTCGGCCTATATAAAATAATGAAATAATCTTTTAATATATATTATTTTTCATTATTTAACTTATTAGTGTATACCTGATATAATACAAATATTGTGTAAACTACCACTCTTAAAAAAATTCCCACATTCATTTTTTTAGTGGTTTGGGAACTATTATGAAATCACTGCTACTTAAATATCTTTGGTTTGACGTTTTATAGTACAAAAACAGAAATCCGTATTTTTATTACAGTCACGTTTAGGAATATAGTTTAAGTATAGCTTATCAGTGGATTTTTGATAGTAGTGAATTGTAATATGTTATACTATACTTTATCCTAAAAATCCTTTAATTCGCTAATGAGCATACATTACTTAGTGTATTTTTTTTACTTTTTAAATAAATTAATCATTGGTTTATAAAAAAAAATAGTTTAATTTTAATGAGTGAAAATTCTATACATCAAAAATAATCCCAAGAATTGAATTTTAATATTTATTCATTTTTTTTTTTTTTTTTTGATAAGCAACTGATAACATAATCTATTATCCAGTGAAAACAGGAACCGGCACATGCTGTTTTAAATATTTTCAAGTGTAAGTAAGTAGTTAGAAGATATTATATTTCATATTGGACGTGCTTAAAAATTAATATGTTTTTTAATGATTTCTTTTGAAAATAAATAAAAACCTAGTTTGCTCGATCACCTTGTTCGGCTGCAATATATTCATCGTTTTACAATATGAACAGTAAAATATACTACAATCAAACTTATAATAATAACTAAAATCACAATAAATAACAGGTATGAATTTGAAAAGCATTTAATTAAATTTCAACATTTATTTCCGATACTACAGAATTATGTACATAATAATACATATGTAATAAAATATAATTTTGTTTTATTTTATTAAAAATTATTTTTCAATATTCTTTCATTTTTCAGTTGGTCATCCATTCTCTAAACTTCACTAATAGGAAGTCCGCAAAGTCGAATACATATTTTTACATTTTTCATATTAATTTCAGACACTTCTCATCTCGACAAATTCTTTTTGAATTAAATAAAAACTGTACTATAATAATACTTATTGAAATGTAAAAATAAAAAAATATTTTATTTTAATTTAAAAACAAAAAATAATAAGTACACTACAATTTTCGTATGTTTACTGTATAAAAATGTTAATAAAAAATGATAGCAGTACAATAATTATATTATGCTTTCAATGTATTTGTTACACCTTAATTGCATTCAACCTCGAATAATTTTTATGCGATGATATTGTACATGTATGCAATATATTTTACAAATTTCAGCCAGTACGACAGCTTCTTGTAATTAAAATTTTAAATATTTAAAATCTATTTTTTAATTTTTTTTTTATACAGAACCAATAAGGAAAACTGTCTATCACATGTCTTCCCCTAATTTAAAATCAATTAGTCTTTATAAAATGTAACAAATATAGAATTTCTTTACTATTTTAATAGGTTGAAAAACAACATGACTACAAAGTTAGTCTATTGAACTTATGTAACATATCAGTCAACAATGCCTAGTCTTAGTAAATAATCATTAATCATCGACTTCGTATACTCCGTATTAAAGCTAAATATATTTATTTAATTCAAAGATTAAATAACGGTTGTATATAAACTATGCGATTATTGTCATTTAACTCTGGCCAAATAAATTTCATAATTTTGATTTATGTGTCTACTACACATAATAATATGTAAGTTAAGCTTCGATGCAAATCTGAGATAATATTGTTTTTACAATGATGTCATATTTATTTGTATTTTTGTGCATCGACCTACTACAACATTTTAACAGCCGACGCGAACAGAGTTTTGAAAAAGTAAAGCTATTTGTTAATTATATTAATGTAGCATTAACATAAAGATTACAATTCTTATACATTTTTAGACTGTTGTTTATAATATAGTAACCTTTTTTAGTTTTATCGTTGTCGAACATTTAATTTGACCTAATATTATATAGTGTTATTGTTAAGATACACATTAAAAGCCGACTAATATTATGTAATCAAATTTATAAATTATTTTAACAAATAACGTGCTTTTTCAAGTTTATTGATATTTATTTAGCTACCAGAAACTAGAAGACCTACTTTTTTTACTAACACAAAAATGTGAAAAACAGCTACCTCCTGTTTATGTATCAAACTTTTATTATATAACATATTTAAAATAGGTATTTCGTATAGGTAATCTTGGTAGGTATTATGGATTACATCTTAAGCGGTCCTAGAGGGCCGTTCTCGACTCATAAGAGGAGGAGGAGGTTTCCTAACAAATTTATTTAGATATTGTTGGTAAAAATAAATACCATTAATACATTTAAGAAAAACACATTTTGAAGTGTAATTTAAATTCAAAATTATTACAAAAATACATTTTATGAATAGTTAAATATTACATTTAATTATTAATCATTAATATTTATTATATTTACATATTACATTATTGAATAAAATAAATTAAACGATTAGTACAATACATACAATTCAGACTCTCGAGTGTTGTGAACGACAAATCAACGTTTGTGTAAAACCGTCGACTTGTATGAAATTACAAGTACTATTATTTTTTTATTAAATCGTTGGAGACAGCTGCTGACGGTGGCGGTGAACTGAAAGAAGTCGTCGGAGACAAAGAGTTAATCTTAGATGTTTCACGTGGATTTGTCGACGATGACGAGCCTGTGGTGGACGGTGAAAGTGGAGAATTGTTCGCGGTCGGATTAGAAGAGGACGGCGAAGGGTTTATCGAACCGATCAAAGTTTTGATGAATTCAATTTTGGACAAATTCTCGTTGGTCGCCGTCAATGGAGGAGCGTAGTTGCCCGTGCAAGTGTAAGTTTTCGCCCGTGACGCTAAGGCGTTTGATAAGATATTGAACAGGAGTTGATTGGAATTTTGTTGGGCTGCACACGGCGGCAGCGTTGAAGGGTATTGATTTGGAGTGGCCGACAGATATGGACTAGGATATTGGTTCCGGTTTAAATACGGAGCCGAAATTCGTTGAGGGTTGGCGAACGAGTTAAAGAAACCCGGGTTAACACTCGAAGTAGGATATTGGTTTTGACAAGTACTACTCGAACCGTACGGCGTTATCCGGAAAGACGGTTGATTCGATTGAAAATTATTTACCGGACCTGAACCAACAAAGCCGGTCTGGCCACACGGAGCACCAGTTGGTGGCGAAGGACATTGTGTGGCTACGGGGTTTGTCACTGCCGCCGGAGGAGCAAACTGAGACGTTTTGGAAGATTGTAAGTTTGTCAAGTAATTCTGTAGCGATGGATTGACATCGGATGGAACAGGAGCCGGCGGTGGTGACGACGAGGTTAAGGTGTTTGGGGCGGGATTAGTTCCGCGGGAACCACGAGGTCCCGAAACATTATTATCCGAGGATGCTCGGGCAGATGGTAAACTCGACAAATACTTCACAAAAGATGGATTTACACCGGTTGGAGTGGTTTTGGCCGAAGAAAACGAGCAGGGATACGATTTTGTCAGCATAGCAATGAGTTCTGGACTGAGACCAGACGATTCGAGAGGCGTCGGCGTGAGTGGTATCAGATTTCCTAGATCGCACGTAGGCGCGTTATAAACCTGCAAAATTAGCAAAACACAAAATTAAGAAAACAATAATAAAGTGTTTTTCTGATATTATTTTATACTTAAGCGGCTTATGATTTTTAAAAACATTTGTATAATAATAATAAAACATAATAATATTTTTTAAGTAACAAACTATATAAAAAAATGTATATTCAATTACAACATACCTCAGTTATAACGACTATTGCGAAAACGACAATAGTTTTCAAAACAACCATTTTTTGTTTTGGTTTGGTTTAATGCAATAGTTTGTAGTGTAATACAACTTCAGAGTACTTATTATAATATAACGGACACGAGTTTTCTGGCTTATATTTAACCGAGTAAATAGGATTTAAACGCCTGTGAGGGTCATTCGAAATGTTGATTGGAATTCGGTTATCAAAGTCTAAACTAAAAATATCCTTGACTATTCGAATGTTCTGTGACCAAAACATGTCATTAACTTATCTACATCTATCACAATTACGACGGTCATATTATACACTAGGCTTGTTGCCATTTGTGTGATGTGATAAAACGAGCTGTACTGATCGTGTTATATTTTATTAAAACTTGCATCTGTATTTTTTAATTAATTCGGTTTTTGGGTGTCAATGTTTTTAAAAAAGTTATTTTAAAATCAGACAATACAACATAGTGATCATAAATATATTACAATAAGCAGGCCCCAAACACTGATATGAATTAAAACGGGGAAGACACAAAAACGCGTCCATTTTCTTAAGGCTACACCGCTATACATTACTATTATATGTTGTGTATAGATATTGCATATAATATCACATGATAGATGAAATTAGATGCGTCACTTTCAATGTAAACAAAACCGTGGCGGCTATGTTCTAAACCTGTTACAATCATTCTAAATAGTCCATCACAAAATGACCGTCACTTTTTTGTTTACATTGAAAGTGACCCTTCTGCTTTCATCTATTCTGTGCAATAATTAACGAAGGCATCGAACTGAAATCATTTTTCAAATGAAAAATTTATATTGGCTTTATCTTATATCGGGTACGGTCGAGAGTAAAAATTGATGTTTTGGGTAAATAACAATAATCGACATTTGGTTGCTCTGACGTAGGTGTGTTATTAAAAATACTATTACGTGTCGTACATGTGCATTGTGTGATGACGTTTGCGTTGAATATAACACATTTTGTACTTATTTTGCGAGAAAAAAAACAAATAGGCATAAAAAAACTTTAATGTTTTCCACACGATTTGTGTGCGCTTGACGTGATTTAGCTGTGGTGCGATCCTTGAAGATATGTTAACCCTTTGTAGATTGCCCTGTTTACTAATGGTGCTTTTGGCGTTGGATTTGACTTTGGGCGGCCGTTCAAAAAACGGTCGCATCGAACAGCGACGGTCACTGGAAGCTCTGACAAAGGTCGACATGGGATATGCGCCAAAATTGGAAGTTGTCAATCCGTTGACCGTAACAGACAAAGAAGTGGAAAATACTCTCAACGCGGTATACATGAATTTACAATGCAACTACGTGTTCGGAGCTTTGATGCATTTGCGTTTGGCCAGAGTGCTGTTGTCGTACGGCGGAAACGATCGGCCGAAGCCGGTTTCTTTCAGGGACGAAGCCATGCAAATCCTACAGATAGTACACGCCACGTCCGGGCTGAGGGCCTTGAACTACATCTGGTGGGTGTTTTGTGTGTTCGCCGAGAGAACGGTGGAATACGTACAAACCGCAACGTCCGGGCATAGGTTCGAAGCCTTTGTGCACGTGCTAGATACTGTTGCCACGCTGCTGCAGGAGTTCGTCGAGTCGGACAAATGTGCAAAGTTCAACCGGCACAACAGCAATGTCGATCAGATCTCCGGCAACGTCCAAGAAGCCGTGGCGGCGACGACCAAGCACAAGACCGTCATGGCCCGGCACATCAAGTCGATGGAGTCCAGCTGCTTCTGCGGCGGCGGTCTGTGCTCCGGAAGTTATGTCAAGTTTAGCGATTTGTACGTTAACGACGTGCTAATCGATTCGGACGTGATGGAAACTTTGTACGGTAAATTCGCGACCAGAATGAGTTGGGAAAGAATTACAGGCGATTTACTACACCATTACTCGGTGGCCAAAACTTCAGGTGTGGCGTTGCATCAACAAATCAAATCGCTAGCCGTGTTACTCGACGACTTTGTCAGGTCGTTGAAAGCCATCATGTTTCGCATAGTCCGGAAGCATTTGAAGTACGTGCACATGATAACCCACCGAAGTATTTTCATGATCGCCATGAACGATCCGAGAACTTTGCACTTGATTCTGTATCAAAATTTCCTCGCATTCGCCAAGTTCTTGATCTGCAAAACGACCAAGACGTTCGGAAAGTAGCCGCGGTGTTGAAACCGAAACGATTTTTTCTCAACGCCATGACCAAAGCGGACATACGCGTATTGCGGAACGCGATGAAACGTACCCTGCCGAAATCGCGTTACGGCAAAGTTAAAAAACCCATCAGACTTTACAGTGGTAAATTCGTTTTGGAATCAATTGCGTTATTGACAACAATTTCACAAGATAACTCCCTAAGCGTCAACGAATACCAATCGTCGCTTTGGATGAGGGAAAGCGCGATGAGTGCAGAAGTTTTTGTCGCCTACATCAAACGAAAAATGTTAGGAATCAATTTCACGGCTATTCAAACGTTTATCGGTATTCAGTCGTCAAACGAGTTACAGCGTTTGGTGAAATTGGAAGAGAGGAAAAAATGACGGGAATATGGCGTTTTATCAAATAATTTACACCGATGGTAAAAAAAATTTAGTTTAAAACTTCAAAATATTCTATTTCTACGCATAGTCATTATAATAATACTTTTCTAAAGACCTCCCTGGCGGTGTCTACCATCCTCCGTCTCCGTACTATATCCAAACCCCGCTTATCACAGCAGAGTGAAACATTAGTTTTAAAAAAATGTTTTTTATGTTGATGCAAAAATTTTAAATTACGAAAGAAATAAAAAACCTAAATTAAAGTGATGTTTTATTTTTAACAAACGTCCATAATCACTTATAATAAATAAAAAAGTTTCAGTGTTCTAACTTAGTGAACTCGATGATCTATTTAAAATGATACAAGTAAGTTTAAGTCTGGCTGGCTAAGCATATTAACTATTAAAAGAAACGATTAAAAAAGAACAACCAACAACAATGTGTGAAGGAAAAATTAATATGTGGCCCAATATTAATAAAATAATTATAGATTTATTGATTGGTTAAATATTGAATGGTTGAGTTTAACCCTAGTAACGCATGTATTGACTGACGCTCCTATTTTCTTTAATAGATTATTTAAAATATGTATAAAGATTGATGTTCCTAACAATAAGAACCCTGCATTTAAATATCTTCTTTTTTGGTCAAACTCTACCCATAAATCTCTCTATCGTGATCTCTCCAATTTCTCTACTTCACTTTTCTCCTGTTTTTTGTTTTTTTTAATTAATAAATTCTTTGAATCTTCAACAGTTAGAGATTCAAAAGATAGTTTCTATCTTTTAGTATAATTTGATTTAAATTTTAATCATTAATCATTTTATAGACGTATTCACACTTGAATAAAAAAAAACGTAAAACTGGTTAAAAAAACAATACAAAAATGTATTTATATTAATATATTGCATTATATTAGATAAATACAATTAATAATAATTTAAAACTTTCCATTAAAAATTATAAAAAAAATGTTTGGTTTTTTTCATAATAATTATTATTTAAATAAATGTATAAAATGTATCACATATGCGTTCCTCTTATTATATTATGATTGGCTGGATTTGATACCAGATTATCTGTAATGAAACATTTATAGGTTGTTAATATTCAAATCATATTTTGAGCCCGATATCGAGTTCGACGATGATCTAGATAGGTTAATTAGTTTATGATTAGGAGGAGTAGATGATTTAAATGGGTCTGCATTAAACGATGGTGTTGGACATGGTACAGCGTTATTGGCCGGAGGACTGTATTCATTCTGACTGGATGGGTAATTTTGAGTATAATCCGAATTTATTTTTGTGAAACCCGTGTTAAACTGAGATGGTGTAAACGAATTTGAACTGATCGATTGCCCCGATTTTGAATCACTGCACACAATTTCTGAAGATTCTTTTGGCGACGAAACCGGGGAATAACTTTGATATTGCATAGATGTTAATTTTGGTGATGGCAAACTTGATATAAATTTCAACAAATTTGAATTATAAGTTGACTCAGAACTTGAAGATGGTGACGATATAGGCAGTGGAACTGGTATAGGTTGCGAAACAGTCTTAGAACATTCTGTTGGTTCAGTAACCGACGGAGAGGTCTGTGCAGACGTTGGCAACGGAAGTGATGGTAAATTTAATATGAATTTCTGTAATTCCGATTGTGATTTAAACATTGATGGAATATTAGAGTTCGGTGGAGATGAAACCGTTGAGACTGAATCAGAAAGGGAGGGTAATGATTTTTGGGGGAGTGACGATTGACAATCATTGTTAGAAGGTGGCTGTATGTTTGTTGAATCGGTCGACCATTCTGGGTTAGTACTTGAAGATGATTGAGACATCGGAATAGTTTGTAATGAAGAGTCAGAATACTGATTTGAAGTGAAAAGCGGAGAGAGTGCTGGTTGGAACACAGATGAAGAATAAGTGTCCGTCGTAGGTGCTGACCTTTGAGAGGTATAGTTGGATAATATATCTGATAAATCTGATTTTTCAGTCGGAGAGGAACAAAAAGGTGTCAACGGTAATGGTTGTGAGATCGGAGTAGGATTTGAAGTGAAATCTGAAAGTTGATTAGATATTGTCGCCTGTGGTGTCGAAGAAGAGCACTTGTCTTTTGACGGTGTAGACGTTTGAGACAACAAGGTTGATAAGATATTTGATAGATCTGAATTGGCGCACGATGATGGAGGCAACGGAAGTGATGAAGGAAGTTCATTTGTGTGAGAACACGATTTTGTGTTAGAGAGCGGGGTAATTGTAGATTGGGCGGGCACCGGGGAGGGTAAGTTTTGTGAAGGCGTTTGGGTCGAAGCCAATTGTAAACTCGATATAAGTTTAATTAAATTTTGATCAGCTTCTGACTGTTTATAAGTGATGGCCGGTGAAGGTGTCGAGAGAGGAGCATAAGTGACTGGTACACCTTGTGTTGGCGTTTGAGAACACGGGCTTGACTGCTGTGGCGCTTGAGCTGAAGAGGATTGAGCGAAAAGAGTAGATATATCCGTATTCAATGCTGACGTTGTTGGAGGCGCTGGAGCAGATATTGAAGATGGTATAGAAGTAGCACATTGACTTGGTGACGGTAATTTTGTAGGAGTTGGTTGGTTCGATCGTGCTGTTATTGAGCTGATTAGTTGATTGAAAAAGTTGGAATCTGAACTTGATGTCAAACTCTGGCTAAATGTCGATGCAGATGATAGCGCAGCAGACAGTTGATTTGACAAAGTACTTAGTATTGACGGATCGAGATTTGACGGTGAATAAGAGGACGAAGAAGGCGGTAGAGAAGATGACACGGATGCAGTTTGAGCGGCAACTGGCGTAACGGCTGAATTTAAGGTTGAAAATATGGCTTTTAAAAGTGCAGGATTTATAGTCGGTATAACAGGCGCGACCGGCACCGAGTTTGACTTTGGTGGCAGTTGAGGTGATTCGGTAGAGTAAATTTTCGAAGCAATGATTCGCGAAAGATCAGACCACAGAGCCGGGAGTAGTTGTTTAAACACAGCGGGATTGACGGCGGGCAGCGCATAAGGCACAGGGGCAAATGTCGGTATTGGAGTTTGTACAGGTGTTGGCGGTGGTTGTGGTGGTGCCAGTGTCTGCTGTTCGGCGAACGGCGAGGGCTTTAAATTCTGGTTGAGGTAAGGTAACACAGTCGGGAGTAAAGTTTTGAAAAGTTTAATTTTACTCAGTAACCGGGCTTTTGCTGGATAAGACAACGACTGGCCGGGAAAAGAAGGCGAAGCCGAACCCAAAGCCTTAGAAGCTTGCAAATAGCTTGAGTACAACGATTTTGGATCAGGTTCAGCCGAACCATATGACGTTGTAGCTGGATTGTAACATGCTAATGGATTACTAGACTTTCCACCAGAAGCGCTCATCAAATACGATAACAGCGTAGGGTTAGGAGTAGACGTTGCATATGGGCCGGACCCCAATGAAGTGGAAATCGAAGATCCATGAGGTCGACACCCTGGTTCAGCGTAAGCCTGCAAAAGATATTATATAATATGTAAACTACAATAATTATTACTGTATATTATTATATTTATCATTAATTATACATTTTATACTTTTAAATGAACTTTTCAAAAAAATTGCATAAACTCTTATTTTACTTTTATTATTATTAAATCATGTATAGTATAATTAATAATTACAAAAAAAAAATGCTCAATAGACCAACAACACTATTCATACCTTATTTAAAACGGCGAAAACGAATATAACCGATAACTGTAAACAAACCATTTTGTTTCGTGACACAACCGCAACATAATAACAACCAATGATTTCATATCCCTAACAAATCAGAGTATTTATAAGGACACCGTTATCGGTTCATCTCCAAAACGTAGAAAACATGGTATATCATATTCTGTATGGCTTTAGATGCCCAAGGTGATATGATTATCTTAGACAATACGAATTACGTATTCATGATAAAATTAACTCTGAATTAGTCATTTATTTTTTAAAAACTGAAATCTAAAAAAAAATGGCCTATTACTCACAAGTCGCATTGTTTAAGACGCGAACAATCCAAACGATAAACGGCATATTATTCAACAAGGAATTAGGTATGTTTAGTCTAAATTGAGTTTTGTATCAAACAGTTATGAAATTTTTGTTTGAAAGCAAAATATATTGAAATTTCTGTGAATGAAACACACGTATTTTCCGTTTGTTAATTACTCATTGTTTTGCAAAATTATTGAATTACCTATAAGAAAATTATTTAAAAAATATTATTTTAATTGAATGATTTTCAGCTTTGATACGAAGCTGAGAAGGTGTTGTTTTTACTATAATGTTTTTTTTTTTGTGTTCCGCGATATCTTCTTAACCACTGAACTGATTTCTTCATGTATCAGAAATCGCACCTAAAAGATATTTTATAACCAAAAATGTAAAAAATTCACTCCTTCTCCTTCAAAATCGAGAAAAACATGTACATATTATACTTCAACATACAATTACAGCGCTCTATAATATTTTTAAACATAGTAGAATTTGTTACAAATTTGTATGGAATATTCTTTAGACATAGTACTACCGATAAACGTTGGTAAACCAAAAAACTGTAATAAAGCCTAGGGTAGAAACTTTATCTTTATGTCTCATTTTCCTGCTAACTTTTAGGACTTAAAATCTGAAAATTAAACTGAAGGTAGATCTAGAATGGAGGTATAACATGTACACTTTTCTCATAAATCTGTAGTCAAACTTTATTTTCATTAAGGAAAAACCAAAAAAAAGAGAAAACTACACATCAACCGTAGTCTTTTATTTCTAGGTTGCTGTGTGAGTGAGTCTCAACAGGTATTTGAAAATTCCTCATTATATTGTTAATTACAATATATGGGTAACTATGGGAATAAATCAGACAATCAACCTTAATCGTGGTGGAAACCCCTAATACTAAAAATACAGTTTTCAACACATAATAATTTTCATTACTACTATGCTTTTATCGATATTTTTTCATTTCTAACATTACCAATTTGCATAGAAGCGTTTATTCGAAAGTAATTTTATCACTTTCAGTAGTAATAAATCATATAGACCTATGGCCTCAATATGCTTCGTTCCTACTATGCCCAATAAACTAACTTTTATTTGATTTGATTTCTTGTTATTGCAATATTGTGAATTGTTATTTTTTTATCAAATAATTTTCCAATATTATAGTATTTTATTTTTATCATAAAAATTACAACTACTCTTAATTATAAATATAATAAGCGAATTAGGATTGTACTTTTTACTCGCTTATTACATATTATACAGTTCTAAAATCAATAAGTCATAATAATTCCCTATTGGATTATTGACTAAATATTCCAACAAAAATAATTCTCTGGAACTTTGTAGCAACTAACTTTTAATGTTTGAAGTCAAGCGGTAATTATTAATTCTAACAAGATTAACCTACCGTTAAGCCGGGTGGAATAGTACATTTTAGGTGACTTGGAACACCGTGTTTTTGGTAACACTAGGTGGAGTTGTTTTTTATTTCTCTACTAAACAAAATATTTGTAAACTGGATTTCCATAAAACAAATGTAGCAAACAAAAATTAAATGTTTATAGTCAGTCACGAGTTCCGTTTCTCTTGGGTTGACAGTACTAAAAAGCATCATTGTAGACTTTAGAGGAACGACCGTGGAATAATAAAAATAATATTGTTTTTTTAGTAATTATAGACTATAGAGTATTCAGTATAGTGAGTTGAATTCATATTACTATAGGTATCGATTGTTAATTTAATAATAAAACCCCCAAAAATATGTTTTTTTTTATATTTATAACATAACTGTTAAAATTTTTTTTTTTAACTATCGGTTATAACAAGTCTACTTATTTCGCTTATTTCTATCATTTATTTTGAAGCCGACTCCTCACATTTAGTAACTTATTAAGTAATTGATGAATTTGTACATTCTTTTATACAAATTTAATTTGTTTAGTTCCAGATATTCAATTAATCCTGATTATCGGATTTAATTTTTTTCATCCAAGTTAAATAATACTACTACTGATACAAAACGCATGTATACATAAGTTAATGACGTTTATTAAAAACTTTTAAACGGTTATTTATTAATATTATAATAACTAATAAATCCATAAATATTAAATAGTTTAAATAAAGAAATACGGCGTTATTGCTTTATGTACAGTGTACTCATGGCAACTATTTAGTGACAAAGCCCATCGAACAAACTTATTGAGTTTACAAACACAACGCCTTGGGCTATGGCACATATATACATATTTATAATTCACTGATTAATGTCAGCAGCTATGAAAACATTTCTATAGCGTTACATATTATTATTGGACTACCGTTGCAAGAAGAACACAATCCGCACGTTACCGACAAGGTCGAATCGGAGTGCTGTGTAGTACCTAACTACTATAATATGTATAAACACCAAACAACAATAACGAAATAATGTAGTTTTTAGTAGGTAAATAATTTTTAAGGCGCTCGATTTAACAAAATATTTTCTATTGGTTTTTTATTTAAATTTTTTCAAAGACTATTTTTCATTTGTTATTATTATAATTTTGATTATTTTTTTCTTGCCTACACAAAAATAATATATTTGTCATACTGTGTTATGATTGGGCAAGCGAAATGTTGACAAGAAACGTTTAACAATATTTAACATGACATGCATTTTGTTGTGACTACGACATCGGGGAGATATGGTTATTATATTATTGTATAATTAGGTGACGAGGCCTATGTATACTTAAGATGGGTCACTTTAATTTAAGTAGGTAAATAATTTTAAAAGCACTTTGACTAAATTCTTAAAGACAAAAGCTGTTGTAACAATTGCGGGTTGGACGCGAGCAGATTGTACAGGCCGTTGTTCGCACTTCCGGCAGGCAAGGTTGGGCTGGTGGGAGATGCGCTCGGGGCTGGTTGATAAGCCGGCGCCGGACTGCGCGGGGCAGGTTGGTAAGCCGCCGGGGCTGGCGCAGCTGTTGTGGTACCGCGCTGGGCGGGCTGGCAGTTCAACGGTAAACCGATAGGGCCCGGCTGGACGACGGCAGGTCCGTATGGCCCGGAAATCGGGGCCTGTACGTAGCAAGGAGCGGGACAGCACTGTGCCGGTGGCGAAGACTGCAAGATGTTTGTGAGGATTTTGAGCAGTGTCGGTGTGAGGGCAGACGAGGACGTTTCTTTGTTTTTGGGAAACGCCAAGATGTTGGCCGTGATTTTTTTCGGTTGGAGAGAGGTCTGCTCGTAGTTGCCGTAAGGGCTGTAACCGAACAGGGACGACAAATCATATTGCTGAGCGTAGGGACCGTCGAAATCGGCTCGTACCTAAGGACAAACAGAACATTTTAGTTAGGTTAGGTAAGGTTTTATACTTTGCATAGTTGTAAGAAAATATTACATAGGTAGGTATTTGAAAATCATTGTAGTTGATTTAGTAATTAATATTTTGCCCATTAACAGTATAGTTTTTTTTTGTGTTAAAAGGAAAACAAAAAGTGTAGGTATCTAATACTGATACCAATAAAATATTATTGTACAATAATTTATCACCTTGGCGGAAACGGCAAACACGACGATGGCGGTAAAAACGTTAATATTCATATTTTCAGTTTCTCGGTGGTTTTTTTGTTTTTGGATCCTTTTATCGACTGCGAGGTTCGTATCGTGCCGATGACTTATATACGTCATACAAGACCCAATGCCGATAATGCAATTACAGCTGCATACCGTTTTTTTTTATCTGCGCGCGTTACAATTTTTTTTTTCTTTCTTTGCTGCTTATATCTACTATTTGCTGTCGAGCAATGGCGATTGTACAAAGAAACCGTTACAGAAACCGATTAATTTGGTATTTTTTCCGGTATAGGTAATCCAAAACCGTCGGTCGAAAGAGGGTATCCGGACAAGCCTCTGAACACGTACACCGCGGTCGCTTTTGTTCGAGACCCTGGAAACAAAAAAAAAACCGAATTTTACACTAATAATTATTTTACTGGGAAAAAGCGCTTTGTCTTGTTACAATAAAGTGGACCGACGCGATAATAGCCGTTGTAGATTTACGGTTAGGTAGATAAATGACAACTGACGTGCGTTTCTCATAAGGTACCTACACACGCGGCGATGCTTGGTTTTGGGTTTAATCGTTGTTTTTTTCTGGACAAACGCAGACATGGTCGCAAAATAATATTGTCTATCGTTAAAGATAACCCCGGCAAAGATCATAGTACGCTCGTGCCGGACACAATCAACACCAAAGTCGACAATTTGTCTGATATTATACTGACCGAATGGACCAAATCGCAAACGCTTTACAGAAACCTACAGCCCTACATTTAACGTTTATTACAACGGCCGGAAAATTCGTTGAAATTGGACTGCAACAAAATTATTGCTAAAATTCAAATAATAGGACTTTTTTTTTAAGGGGGCCTGTTCAAATTTTAGAGGGGTCCAAGCTCTTCAATAGCATGAGCCCATATTATAGGTACTTGACCGTGGAGTTACCCTATAAGTGCGAAAATTAATAAATGAATAAGTGCTATTAAAATGTAATGAATGTTTAAAGTTAACCCAAAACGGAAATGTATTTTTTACTTACTGTGTGCATTTTTGACATAATAAGTGCCCTACATATATACATACATAAGCCGCCATAGGCTACACATTCATCGAAATCATTTATTCATTAACTTAAGTTTTTTATTTACTGTTAGTTGGAAAATAATTTTTTTTGTGGGTCTTCTTAGATATGTTGGTAGATCTTTCGAGCCAACTCGACACTGTCATAATTTAATGTAGATCATAATATTTTTTTTTACACAAAATCGACTAGGTTATTAAATTTGTTTGATTTAACTAAACCTGTATTATTTGTATCAATATTTTTGTTTTACTTGTTGAACCACAGAAGGTCAGCTTATCTATAAAAGTATACAAGGATCAACTTTATGTTTATCTGTATATTAATTATTTTTAGTTTTATCAGACATAGTTGATTAGGTAAGTAGTTTGCTCTGTGCGAATTTAAATGTTCATGTAGTTATAACCATTTGTTATGTAATAAGTATATAACAGTCAAAAGTATGTTTAACCTATGTACGTGCGTCAGGGTTAAAATATAATATAAGGGTTTCAATAGCTTTGAACTAAAGTTAGAAGTACAATCATGTTTGTTATTTAATTGAATTTAATGTCCATAAAATACATAAAAGATACAAATACAATACGTTAAAATATCCATTAATGAAATCATATATACACAATGATCTCGTTAATTGTATGCAGTTGAAATAAAAAATAATATATAAAAATTAAAAACTGCAAGTCGGATATTTATAAACACTCCGAAAAAAATATGTTAATAGGGAATTGACTAAAATGAGTTTATGCCAATGACTAGTTAATTACCAGTTTAACATTTTAAAACTTAGTATTTATATAATAATCAATAAATTAAATTATATGCATACATTTAAATGATGAGCTTACAACATGAAATATAAATATTTTTATGACAATCTTCTTACACTACCTATATATGTATAAAATAAAATAAAATCTAAACAAGCGACACAAAATGTAATATATTTTAATAAATATAGTATAAGACAAATAATAGTAAATTATGAAAATAAACAAAATAAATATTAATTGTAGGTACAAAATATTTATAAAAATGTCATATTGATATCAAACAATTTTTTTTTTTTATATCATAAATGGATAATTAAATTTAAAGGTAACCGACTTATATAAATTAACATATTCATTTCGATTAAACAATAATTTTAACAAATATTTTTTTTTTACATAAGAACATAAATTTGATATTTTACTTACCTAAATCTTAACATATTACATTAACTAACAATAATAGCATCTTTTTATTTGAAAACCAGTACTTATTTTTATTTTTTCTCAGACTTAACAAATCACAAATGTACTTTGCCAATTGTGGTCTAGATAGAGAAACTTCATGCAACAAACATAAATTTATTCAATTTTTGATTTTCCAATTAGAAATTTTGATAAAATAGCACCGACAAATGCAAATATCGCTGATAAGATAAATCCAGAACTACTACCAAACATGTCCATTGTCAAACCACACACTAACGGCGATAGAAATCTGGAAATTGCGGCTGCACTAGCTCCCGCACCAGCAACAAGTCCTCGGTGGTCGGCCGAACTGTTTTCGTAGACTATTTCGTTGTTGAATCCTCTTAGGAGTGTCGCCGAGATACTGATTGGAATTAGTGCTACTGTAAATATTGCAATGTTTGGAGATATTGCTAGAGCTACGAAACCAGCCCCGAGCAAGGCAAAAGTATAAGAGCTCTTGAAAAACGGATTTTTAGATGTAAATATGTGTTCGATTTTGCCAGCAGCAAATCCAGTAATCCCGCCAGTTAGTCCTTGTACAGCTCCGGTGTATCCGGCTTCCGACGGCGACAGATTGAACTTTTCCGTCATGCCTAACCCAACAGAACTGTAAAACGCAAACATCGATGCAGCGCTTAACATTTTCAGTGAAAACGCAGGCCAACACTCTTTCCAGTCTACTTCCATTAAGTCGCTGAACGGAGACGTGTTTCTGACTTTTTTACTTTTTACCTTGGTATCTTTATTAACAACTGTATTAGGAACTGTAAGCCATACAACAATGCCATTGATAAAAAACACCAATGCAGTATAACAAGCCAAAGTATAAAAACCTTCCTTCTTTTCCATAAGATGTCCTCCAACGATTGGGCCGACCACGAATGACAGTGCTGAGAAACCGTTCATATAGCCGTACGCAGTTGTTTGTTTTTCTGGTGGTACATTATCATTAATCAGTGTTTTACATAACAGCTGTGTGTGTTTGACGCATCCTTGAACAAGGCGGACTACAGCTATTAAAACAAGTGATTTCAAGCAACCCAAGATAAAGTAAGCTACGGCGCAAATACTTATAGTCACTAAGAGAACGTTTTTACGACCATACTTATCACTGAGGGCGCCAATCGGAGTGCCGGATAAAAATTGCAGAGCTGAATATGTAGATCCTAAAAGTGCGATTTGAAAGTGGCTGGCACCTATATCTCTTAAATGCGTTCCCAAAACCGGTATTATGAAACTAATACTGATCAAATCCAAAAACACAATGGCGTAGATGTATGTATACTTGAACATATTTGTGATATTAAATTCTGAAACCCGGAAAAAATATTTAACATTAAACATTATTATATATAGCTATAAATAAATGTTAGTACTTTTATTTAAAACTTGAATAAAATAATTTGCTATATTATGTATAATAGCTAATTATTTGCTTACCTCTATCAACTATAAAACAATCTGACGTTTAAGAAGTTAAAAAAATGTTTCAATGGTCCGAAACATTCAAACTGAAAATGTTAAATTTTATTTATTATCGAAAAAATCATTTTCATTTTGATAATTTCATCAGTAAATTATATAAAAGTTAACATTAGAATAAAATGCTTTTATTTTTTAGTTTATTACAAACAAGTTGTAATGTACTCAACTATAGTGAACAAGCAATTTTACAGTTATAGACATCATAATGAGTAATCTTTAAAATATATCATACAACGAATAATTATTATACAAAGTACAAGGTCAATATTATTTTTTTTAATCAATGCTATTATATAATAGCATTGATTAAAGAAAATATTAATAAATTATACCTTAACATTTCTTTAGAAGTTTTTTTTTGGAATGTTTACAGCAAGTATTATAATGAATGATCGACAAATATTAATGGTAAGTTACTTTTTATTTGTATACGTACGTCGTACAGTTTACTTATTAGTTATTTGTTTTGCATTTTCAATACGTATATAAATATTAAACGTTATTTTTTTAATTTTATTACTCCCATCTTATTATCTGTTATTATCACCGACCAGTTTGATAATTCTACCTTATACCTAATACACGGTACATGATATACAAGAAAATAGGTACACATAAAGAGCTACAAAATATTTAAATTGATAATATGTTTTGTTAACGATAAGCGTTATCACTTTGCAAATTTCGTATGAGGAAATAAGTGACGAATTAAAAACTATTATTTTTAACCCATTCAAGGTAAGTGTTACTATGTTTAAGTATTTGTACACTATTATAATCTTTTGACGCTTTAAACGCGGTTATTGTATTTCAGTTGCTTGTTTACCAAAAATGAATAGTTCGGTGTTAGCGAGGTCAAAATTGGTGACTAAAGGTCATGGAGCCTTTGGATTGACAAATATCATCTTAAACAAATTCCAGTTACAAGCCCGTCACAATAGTACCGCGGCTACACCAGAGTTGAAAGCTTCATATGGTAACCTTTCAGATTCTGACAGGATTTTCACAAATCTTTATGGACGACATGATTGGCAGCTGAAAGGCGCACTTAAGCGCGGCGATTGGTATAAAACCAAAGAAATCTTAGATAGAGGTATGGATTACATAATAAGTGAAATGAAAACTTCCGGTTTGAGAGGACGTGGAGGTGCTGGCTTTCCTACCGGAATGAAATGGAGTTTTATGAATAAACCTTCAGACGGTCGCCCAAAATATTTAGTCGTCAACGCTGATGAAGGTGAACCCGGTACATGTAAGGATAGAGAAATTATGAGACACGATCCACACAAGCTGATTGAAGGGTGTTTGATTGCTGGACGAGCTATGGGAGCTTGTGCTGCTTACATTTATATCCGTGGAGAGTTTTACAACGAAGCCTCAAATTTACAACAAGCTATTTGTGAAGCATACCAAGCTGGTTTAATAGGTAAAAATGCATGCAATTCTGGCTTTGATTTTGACGTTTTTGTTCATAGAGGAGCTGGTGCATACATTTGTGGTGAAGAAACGGCTTTGATTGAATCCCTCGAGGGAAAACAAGGCAAACCTAGGTTGAAGCCTCCTTTCCCGGCTGATGTTGGTGTTTTCGGATGTCCGACTACAGTGTCAAACGTGGAAACTGTTGCTGTGGCTCCTACAATTTGTCGTCGCGGTGGTAACTGGTTTTTGGGACTGGGTAGACCCAGGAATTCTGGAACAAAGTTGTTCAATATATCTGGACATGTTAATACACCATGTACTGTCGAAGAAGAAATGTCTATTCCGTTGAAAGAGCTGATAGAACGCCATGCCGGTGGCGTCGTTGGCGGATGGGATAATTTATTGGCCGTAATTCCCGGTGGGTCGTCCACACCACTCATACCAAAACATGTATGCGATACTGCTATAATGGATTTTGACGGATTAGTAGCTGCACAAACAAGTTTGGGAACAGCAGCGGTAATAGTAATGAACAAACAAACCGACGTCGTACGAGCCATTGCTCGTCTAATTATGTTTTACAAACACGAATCCTGTGGCCAGTGTACACCGTGTCGCGAAGGCATCAATTGGATGAATAAAATAATGTACAGGTTTATTGACGGACAAGCGCAATCTTCAGAAATTGACATGTTGTGGGAGATCAGCAAGCAAATCGAAGGCCACACAATTTGTGCTTTGGGAGATGGTGCCGCGTGGCCAGTACAAGGATTAATACGGCATTTCCGACCAGAGTTGGAGAGTAGGATGAAAAAATTCCAAGAGCAGAATGAAAAGCAAGCTATATCAAATTAATAGCTGTTTCTATAGTATTTATTTGAAGTTTTTGCTTTTATATCCAAAAAGGAAACATATTTCAAATCAAATTTGTTTTATTCAAACACTTTTAGTAATAAAATTACCGTTGTTTATATAAGCATATACGGGAAAACAATAAATTGTTAATTCAACAAGACCTGTATCACAATCGAAAGTTAACATTTTTTTTTTTATATCACTTTGAAAACCAGTTTGTAAACACAAAAACATTGTATAGTTGTAGCTATAATAATTAGTTTATAATAAATACTTCGCAATATGTATTAATGTACCTACATATAGGCTATAATATACGTCATGTACTTTTATTCATTTCTAGTTATCATGAATACATGTAGGTAGGTGATATACCTACTATGTGTATAATAACATTACCGTAAACTTGTCCACTTGTTTGTATTTTATCTGTTTTATTCGTTTTGATATCTACCACAAATGTAAATGTATTAAAAAGTTTTTGAAGGTTTTACATTATTATATAAATTCAAAACAGTTTACATTTAATAAACTTTGTTGATAGATGATACATTGAGTAACTAATAATACATTTTTTTTTTTTTGGTATAAAAATGTTGATCAAAAATAGGAAATGTAAACAACAGTTACAGGCAGTTTTTTGAAAAATCTTAATTTAAAGGATAAGTGTGTAATTATTAGTTCATCAATAATTAGCCTTTTTTTTTTGGTAGTTAATTTATTATTAGGACTATTACAGCATCTTTAATAGTGATTTAATTTTTTTTTTATCTAAACATGTTTACGCAAAAAAAGAAAAAGGTACCCTTCAAGGTGATTTTAGAGATAAAAACATCTAGACAAGATTTCCAAGGGATCTCATATTATGCATTATGAATTCATCTACAATGCATATAGGTCAATATTTAGATGAATGTAAAAGTACATTTTCTAGCTTTTTAAAATGTTTGGAATTTGTTTTCCGATTAATATTTCGAAAAAGGAATAATATTATGAGGTTACCTCGGAAATCATGTCCTCTATCTTTTTTTTAATTATAAATTTCTTATCTCTTGAATCACTTTGAAAGGTACTTTAATCCATCTTGTGTAAACATATTGTTTTTACGTTTAAAAATCATTGACGAGGCGTCCTCTTAATAATCTCTTTTTTTAAGCTTCGATGAGGTTATTGTAGTATAGGTTGCAACCTATAAGTTCTCAAGTCATATTGAATGGCTTATGTACCTATGATGTTAAATCTTCAATGTAGTAGCACAGATTAGATTATATAATCCGTAGTTGTAGTAAAGTATGTATATCGCCCAAAGGACAATTGTTGCGTCATATTATGCAACCGAAAACGTCAGTTTTAATTTTAAATAGCAGTACAATTTAATTGGAGTTGTTCCCGGCCATTAATTCGATTATTATCTATAATTTATTTATGCAATTGACAAGATTACATTTTTTCCAAGTTATATAGTTTGCTAATTATCCAAATTTGTGCTTGTTAGCTGTTATTTTTCAAATAATTGTAGCGAAAAATATAATGTAGGATGTAGGTACATAATAATTTAAACAGTGATGTCATTGATATTTATGTTGTTAAAACCGAATAATAATAATTTTTTTTAAAACGTAGCTAGAAGGAAAATGCAAACTTATTGATTGCCACTAGCTAAATTACAACATAGTTGTATGTAGTAATTATTTCCAAGGTAATTAGCGGGTAGTTATAATATGTAACGTAGGAAGTCGCCTTATAGCAAAAAAAAAACTATACATTTGATCTTAATTATTATACTTATTTATTAGGAAATAAAGATATGAAAAGTACCCGCACGTCGAGCATAACTGCACAAATTGCATAGAATCACAAAGATAGATTTTAAAAATCTTTTACAGTAATACAATTAAACACACTCGAAAAGGTTTATCTTATCGTCGAGTATACAAAATAATTGCACGTATTTGATCAGTTTTTAATACAAATAACATTACATTTATACAATATTTAACCTAGGTATTTGTTCGTACATGGGAACATGGTACATTTTACAAAATACTTATGTAAATTGACGAATTTAACTTAATAGTTCAATACAAATAACAGTAACTGTTGCGATGCATAATAAAACTAGAAAAATAATTTAATACAAAATAAATAGTATTTTACGTAATTTTACTCTTGATTTTATTATAATCGTAGAACTTGGCTACCATAGCACCAGACAAAGCAGCTATGCTTGCAAAAGCATATGCACCACAAGCACCAAACTTATCCATGGCTATGCCGATAATCATTGGGGAAATAAATCTAGCTACTCCGGAAGCACCCGCCATAGCACCTTCGACGGTGCCTCGGGTTTTTTCATCGCAGTGTTCTGACACCAACTGGTTTAGGAACACTTCGATCAGAGTTCCACCCGTACTGACAGGAATCGTAAACAATAAATAACACAATAAACTGGGTTCAAACGCGAAACAGAAATACCCGAAAGACAATAATAGGAAACTGTAGAAGCACTTGTTGAACGTGCTGTACGAATGGAATGCAGACGCCAATTTAGTGACAAAAAATCCAGTTGCTACGCCGATCGAACTGATGTACGATATTGTATAACCAATGTGGGAAGAATCGAGTTTATATGTCTCTTTCAGGACGAAATACAATGTTGTCATCAATGTTGAAAGTGTGGCCGTATACATGATTCGCATGAACAACAACGGCCAGTACACAGCCCAATCCAATTCTTTCAAATTACTGAGCATCGATTTCTTGTGACTACTGCTTTTGATTTTTTTGTCTGGCACACAACACACTATGATGATAACATTCAAAGTGCAGACCAAACTAGTCAAACATGCTACATTATAAAAACCATTAGGTTGTTCTAACATGCGGCCGCCGATGACTGGCGAGATCATGAATGCCAACGAAGTGAAACTGTTCAATCTGCCGTGAGCGCTGAGATGCAGATCTTTGGGTACGTTGTCGCCTATTAACGATTTATCCAGCATTTGTGTATGTTTCAAGCAGCCTAAAATTATTCTTATAATAGCTAACCAAAGATAAGTATAACATTGTCCGATACAGAAAAATCCTATTACGCTGACCATCATAGAAAGTGTAAGCATTCGTTTGCGGCCATAACGATCGCTAAGCGTACCCACTATAGGACTCGTGATCATTTGCAAACCCGAGAAAAAAGATTCCAGAGTAGTTATTTGAAAGTGTGAAGCACCAATTTCTCTCAGGTGACGATTGAAACCAGGCATTATCAAACCAAGACTGGATGTGTCTAGGAAGCCAATGGTGTATATATAAAAATATTCAAACATTTTTTTTTTTTTTTTAAAGAAATAATTTAAATAAATAATTAACTTGAAACATAAACTAAACAAATTAACTTAAATGTAGTATACGATGCAACAATTATAATTCAATCTTTTCAACATCGCCCTGTACCTGTAAAAATAAAAATAAAGTTAATATTAATAGTTTGTTTTAAATCATTTTTATTTTTATTAACCAAGACTAGGAATTTAGTTCACTTGCATCAATTATTTGTTTTACATTATACATTTAATTTTTGCCAACACTCAATAGCAAAACTAATAAATGATGAAACTGTTTTTTTCTCTATAGTCTTATACTGAGCATTTCAAAATAATATATACTTAGTATTTAGCCGGTTTACTGTGAGTTAGTTAATTAAATTGTAATGACAGAATAAAATAATACTTATAATGATTTATTATTAAATTGGCCAATTGAAATAACAGAAAACTTAATGCTAAAAATATTAAATGTTTTTAACTTTAAAACGAAGCAAATGTCAGAACACTAATTAAAAAAAAACCAATAAATTATTATTTGGTTTACAATATTTATGAATCAGTGTTTAAGCATCGCTATTAAATTATTTGATATATTCGTATATTTGATATATACATCAACATGGTTTATACTTTAAAAATATTTAAAACATAAATTAAACTATTAGCATTAAATTTTTTAAATGTGAAAAGTTTGATTTCTTGTATTTAAAATGTGTCTAACAAAATATTTTCAAAATAATGCATAATTCAAAATAAAAACAACGATTTATGTCTACTAAAATAACAATAAAACTGATAAACTTAATACATATATATTTTATTTAAATAAAGATACTTACGACAAATCCGTTAGCGGGGCCTTGATACACTTGGTTTTCAATTGTCACATCGACACAGTCTTCTTGCTGAACGAGGAAATCTTTGGCGTCCCAAGCTTGTGAACCATCTTTGTACATAAATATAGCTCTATTATCGTCGACCATAAACCTACAATATATATAAATATGTTAATTGTGTAAATACAAAATATTAATTGTGTAAATAAAATTTCTACTTTTTGTAATAATATTAGATAGAATTTTCTTCCACTATATTCGATTATTGTGTGAGTTATGGCTTGTTCGTACTGAAATGTAAATACTTTAAGAAAAAAAGAACTGTACTAAAGGTCAACCAAAGATAACACAGCATGATTAAAGAAAGACTTGTATAGACTTAATTTCCTTAACAAAGACCACTATTGAAACGAAGGAAAGAAAATGTAAATATACACCAAACGCCGAATAAAAATAGCAACATAAATATTGTGCAATTACACTTGTACAAAAGTTAAGTAGATACTTCAAATACGAAGATAAATCCCACTATTCAAGAAGACTACTAGACAGTCTATCAATTGTATCTATACAATATATGAGTAATATAATTTATGTACTATGTACTATATTTATAGTTTTTAATATATAAAATTAAAAACTTTTTCAGAACAGTGAAAAGTTGAAAAAAAAAGGAAAATATTATAGTGTCGTGTTTGTTTATAATAAATTGTATAAATACCAGAATACGATCACGTTGAGCAATATTACTGATTTGTTTTATTTAAAATTAATTAATTAATTAATTTAATTTTAAAGTATTAAAAATTAATTTAAACATTTTAAAATAAACACAAATTATTATAGTTGATGTGGAGTCCACAATAAAAAAGTTAAAACTAAACGTACATTACTAATCAATACACTCTTCTGAGATCACAGCACATTTAGTTGATTACCTCATAGTTATAACAGTAAGCCCTTTGTAAATCAATGATTAGTATTATATAATTATCTTGGGATCAAAACCAGTTTTTACCCCACTACTAAAACCAACCAGTCTACTATAGAATACAATACAGATAATATAATCATACTAGCAGGTCATTGGAATAATCATCTACAACAATTACTATTTTTTTAGTTTGTTAATAGCTATTTAAATACATTTATCATATATGTATACAATAATTTATTTTATTTCCATTTTGAGAAAACTGTATTATTGAGAATCATTCACTCGTAGTTTATATTGATAAGAATTTCTAAATATTTTTTATAAGACATTTGATGTAAGAAATTGTATCGTAAATTTACACTACTAATATAATACATAGGTTAGGTCAGGGTAATTAATTAATTCTGTAAATGGTCATAAGTTGAAAGAGTCAACCTTGAATTGAAAATAAATTTAATAATATAAAGAGCAAGGATTAAAACAGTTTTATTTTCGATCAATTCTATTCTAAAGGTGATAATTAATTAGTTTTTAAGGATGATCAACTGAAAAACATGATATAAATCTGACAACTCTGGATTATGGATATAAATAGGTGATGTTTTTGGCAACTTATTCTATAAATTAAAATTACCGTGTATACAAATTATTCAAACCTTTCAGCTTGTATATGGTTGTTCCACAAACTAGACTGCCACAGCTTAGTTAATTTATCGGCCTCTTCTTTATCATACTTTGGCGCCACCTTAACAAAAGTCATTAATGTTTTGCCTTTCTTTGATGCCTTCAATATAGCATCAGGATCGTCAAAATTCACCTAAAAAAATTATAGCATAATGAGTTAATTGTTATGACAAAAATTAATATACAAAAAAAGCATTGTATATTAGGTAAAAAAAGAATATTATTAAATATATTTTTGTAAGTAAGAAAATGTATTCAATGTCAATAAAGTTAATATTATAAACGACTAAAAGAAATATAAAAAAAATCAAATAAATGAGCCTAAATTAATTAGGACATGGAATATTTTAATAATAACGCTTTCATAACAGTATAGAATCAGATTTTTCTTACTTCTTTTGATTAAGAACTAAGTACAAAATTTCAAATAAGCTTTGATCATTATAATGCGGCAATAACAGAAAATAAAAAATACATTACATTCTAGCCTAGTAGTAAATAGTTAGGATGGGACCCTTCTTATCTATTCAATAGCTAAATATAATTAAAGATTTCTTTTTTTGTGTACAGTAACTGTATGGAAACTTACACATTTTTCAACTCTTAATGTAAAAAAAAAAAACAGGAATTTTTAAAATGACGATATTAAGATAATTCTTACTAATGAAATTATATTGGTATATAAACTGAAATTAATATTATTATTTTTATGTATATTATAACAATTTAAATGCAGTATAAAAAACAATTACCGTAGTAGGATCAATTTGAGGCGAAGGTCTCAAGTGTTCTGGTAGTTCATCTGGTTCTAAAGGTTCTTCGTCCTCCTATGGCAAAAACCGTTTAGAATCATTGACAGTAGGTACAAAAATTTACAACTAACCATGCAGGCAATAGGTAAATGTTGTCTAGGCTATTTTTAAATAATATCACCTATGCTCACCTCCCACTGGTCCAACAATCGTTCCAAATCGGCTTCGGTATAGTCGCGAATGTCTTTTTTGGCCCAGTCTGGCTTCGAGTTATCCGACGATTTTTTCGCCACTACCATTACTGCTGTGGCTAAGACCGACATCAGTAAAATACTTAGAGCGCCGTTCATTTTCAAAAAAACAAAATCGACAAGTGACCAATCACAGGATTTATTATAACAGACAAAAAAGATTATAATATAATGATATTATGAGTAGGAAAAATCCGATGCCGGTACACGACGCTATTTAAGAAAAAAAATAACTGTATACATATTATACTACACAGATATCATAATATTTGGTACACATAAATCGTATAGAAATCCACACGTCGACTCTACGAAATGATTATCATCGACGCCGCTTGGTAACATGGTGATAACAACTCATCGGTTGTTGGAAACCATAGAAACCACAGATGATAATACAATATTGGGAAAAAAATTATCCATCGTTAAATATCATGGAGGAGACGGTTACTTTCATGGATACAATTATTGTATGCCGGCGACAAAATGCCATGGATACGACATGACAAAACAACTGAATTTTTATTAAATAAAGGAAAACAATATAAAATCAAGTTGAAGTGTTTGATCGATAGCTGTAGGTGCCTATAGTTTACTAATACACAGAAAAGATACGCGTTATATAAGTTTAGTAATAAAGTAATAGGTAAATGCGAGAGTACCTAAAGTTTTTTATTTTTATTTACCGTGTAACGCGTACGTAATTGTTTTTATTACTATTTTTGATGTTAAAAAAATTGACAATATAAATCATTAAAAATAACTAGACGGTGAGCATTTACGATTTAATTTCTAAATTGAATTATGATAAATTTATTTCCAATGTATTGGCACGTAAACACCTAATTTGCACTTTAAGAATTACATAAAAAAATCAATTAAATTAAAAAAAACTGAAAATCTGAAAATAATCAATTTAATCTAGGTACATTTGATAAATCCAGATATTCTCATCACTATAACAAACGTTTGTAAATCGTAAAAGACCGACAATTCAAGTGAAAACGATATTGAATCAGTTTCATGGTTTTGCAGAAAACAATTTATTGAACTAATTCAAATTTCGTTTATTAAAAATTGCGATAAACTTATGATTTTTTTTTTTGCGAATTACATTCCAGTAAACATTTTTACTGTAAAATGCTATAAAAAAATTATTTAAAATTTTTTTTATCGAGTTATAAATTGTGAGCAGGAATGATGTAGAGTCGATGTTTGCTTAGGGGTTACCACTATAATATTTTTATTTTAATCCTCTCTTGGAAATTAAAATATTTATAGCTGCGCCACTATTTTATTTTATTATGTCTTAAGGTTTTAAGCGCTTTTAAATTAACGTAGCATAATATGTTTTGATTTAGTATTGGCAAAAAATAGATTCTAAAATGGGTGACAGTTGGCGACAAACAGTGATGAGTATTACTGACAGGATATTTCCACATATTCCACCGGACCAACAAATCGGATGCGCTTTTGGTAAACAATGAAATAATATAAAAAAATATTATTAAATGCCTTACGGGAAAAGTTCTCATGTCTTGTGGGATGAACCGTTTGTCATATTTTTTATTGCCAGAGAAACTAAGACTTTCTACAGGCCAATTTTGATTCTCAACATATAATTTCTCCGCGTGGTGTGTTTGAGTATCTGTAAGAAGTCTTCATCTTGAAAAAAAAAGAAATAATTTACATTTATAAAAATCGGACCACTCTACAAGGGGGGAGAATTTTTCTTGTAGTCATTTTTTACCATTAAAGATACATTTGTATTTTTCAAAATATGTAATTTATTTATTTTTATAAAATATAAAACTAATTATAACATTAGTATTATTCGAACATCGACAATTGTTTTATTCGCATTATCCCATGTTATATTTGAGTATAATAAAAAACGCAGTGTAGGGCATGTAAAGATTTCATCTTTCTTTGTTTACGGAGTTGGGCAGTGACAATATTTTGTAAATAAAGGTAAAATAACAGTCGTTATTTTTTTGTTTAAACTTCAATCGAACAACATCAAGATGTAGTATGATTGTTAGTTTGGACGAAGAGAGACGATTAAAGCTCTATTAAAGTTCTTTATCTCTCTTTACGTTTAAGGGGACGCCAAACCACCTGTTTATTAAGGAGTAAAGTATAGGCAATCTTAATTTAGAGTTCCTACTATAGTGTATACTTGTTAATATAGTAATGAGCATTCCCGATTCTTTATTGGTCGTTATTTATTTTTTGTCAGACTACCACAGTCATTTTTATAGCAAAAATTTAATTTTTTCCATAAAACCATTTTTTGTGGTTCGAAATTGTGAAGTTTTGAATGAAGAAAAAGCCAAAGTTCTTTCATCATTTAAGAGATGAAGAGTTCAGTAATGTTTTGTTGGAATCCGAGTTTAAAAATAGTATCAAAAAGCAAGCATTACAGCCTACCAAAATATCATAATACAGTATTATTCATTTGCATATAGGGTAAAAAATAATCACAATTATGAAAATCGAAGTCCAACAAAACACGGTAGCACTCATCACCTTCCCAACGGTATATCACTTATGTGTCTATGTTCATTGAAGATTTCGTAGCACGAAAAACATGTGTTTGGTATTCTCTTAATACCAATTATTTTATTCAATTTGTCTTATAACTTGTTTCTTTTAATCTAGAAAATGAAATCGTATCAAGCCTTCCATTACAGATGTCTTTGCACTTCAATGTAATTTATTTTCCTTTTTGGCTCTGTACGTTCGTGTCTTTGATTTGGTTTAAGGTAGGTAAACTGTATATACATAATCAAATCGACGTCTCATCGTATACCTCGTAATACGTCTCTCCAAAATCATAATACTTAATAATTAGTTAATAAAATTATGATAATTGATCAAATGTTTGCTTTCAGCTCGGATGTTTAAACATACTGGTCCAAACCATTCTTGTCGTGACGCTGTTTTTGATATGTTCGCTGGAATGCGCTAGACTTTACTTGGGCATTCAAGGAAATCTGAAAGAAAAGGTAAGAAATAAAACCGGCCACGACCCGTAACACGGCGGCGTCCATGAACTTGAGATTATGCATTGGGTAGCCTGCTGTTGTGAGCTACCTAATGTTTCTGACGTTTTCGCCTAATAAATATTACAAGAATTTTTCGAACAGATTCCGGACTTGGCGGCTTTTTGGATGTTTTCGCTGATCCTCCAGTTGCCGTTGCAAATGGTGTTTTTAGCGTTAAACACCGATCCCGTCGAAATGGCCGTCCAAGGAATCATGTGCGCAATGTTGTTGGCTCAGCTGGTTTTCGGATTCGCAGTCCTCCGCGACATGGCCAAACACCACAAGCTCCGGTTCCACATATCGCAGTTCTACGACGGGCAACACTGCAAAACGGACTGAGATCGCCTAACCCCCCCCCCCCTCTTGATAGATTTCAATACAAAGGTTTGGCATTCATCCGGCTCCGCAGTGTAGCGTATATACTCTGTCCCGCGAGAGAACGGTACTGCGCGTTATTCCTGTTTACTTTTGTCTGCGCAGGCGCATACGAGAGTAATGCGTTTTAGTTACTGCGCGGTACCCGTTCTCTCGCTAGATAGAGTATAGTATATTATTTAGGTGATCTGTTTTTTTTTTGTCCTTCTCGTTTGCCGGGATCGTAGGGGAGTGGGCGGAACGAGTAAGCAAAAACGTAGAGCGCCAAACAAAAGAACTCGCAACGTGGTGTACGCTGTCGAGGGCGAGTTAACGGCCGAAAGAGGTAAATGAGTCGAGGAAAGGACCGGTCGGGCATATTCAAACACCAGATGGAAGAGATAATAGAATATTACTCGGAAACACACAGAAGTATTTAATATATACACGTGCACGATGGCGCGAGCGTTCCAAGGGATGTTTTAAGGGTTAAATCCATTGTCTATGATGAGACTCGGGGGGGTGTACGTTTGTCTTAAACACACACACACACACACACACCGTCGTACTTTTAGAGCGTTGTATACCGTTGCGGTATCTGCTCTAGTTGTGTATGTGTGTGTGTGTGTGCATATATATGTAATGAAAGTTAATGAGGCTGAAATGCAGATTGCGCGGCAAGACGGTGCCGTTTTCGTTGATTAATGGCCCCCCGGCCGTCTTCTGTTCGCACACCCAAAAGGAAACAATGCGCGATAATAACTTTATTATGCCGGACGAGCACAGACCGTGTACGCGTATCTCCGTGTCGCTCTCAGGAAATAATATTCTAAACTCTGTACAGTGTGTGTCAGCGTTATCTCGACAGCTCCTCTGGGCCACTCGTATCAGAGTCATTAACTCGAAAATCGCGCGATTACTTTACGATCCAGACGTTTGTATGTACTTAATAATGCGGAAGATGACAATTAATGCTTGCAGAACCCAAGACACCCAATTATTTGTTTCGGTTAAAAAAAAAAAAAAATACTTGTCTTCTATTCCGCCCAAAACCAGATTTTAGGAGGGGGGCGATGTCCCTAGAACTCGACAATTTCCGGAACCTATCAATCAGTATTAAATACATACATACATAATTCGATGGCAGTGTGCCCACAATTATTAAACAATATTTTACAGGCACAGTATTTGAAAATGTATAATAGGAATCCGTACAAAATCCTTGCTACATACACATTATAGTCATTAACTAAAAAAAATAATTTTTATTTGTTCTGATAAAGTTTTGAAATTAAAAATTTTTTTTTTAGAGAAATGTTAATTATACCTAAAACTATATTCAGGTTCCCAATTGCTATATCATTCCATGTATTTAATAAAATTGACATGGCTTGTAGCACAGAATTAATTGTAATGCCTTACAATACTTGTATAAAATATGTAGAAGGTTATTATAAGAATCTATCTACTTATAAATTTCATAACTCAATACGACTTAATTAATTTTTTATAAAAATTGTCTATAAAATGAACTGTTATTTATCTAATTTTTTGCTTTCAAATGTATAGTCAAATACATTTTATTCATGTTAATCTAATCTAATGTAACCCAATGGCCTTTACGGCCAAGAGTAATAATAAAAAAAATTAAAAAAAACAAAATTGATCGCTGTACATGGCTGAATCATTTTTACACCTGTGCATAATATGACATCGATGTATGGAAGGAAGAACCATTTTTGTTGAATTGCCTCGGAGCTCAGAAGATTTTAAATCCTTACTTTATAGAACCATTGTTAAAATAATAGTTGTGAGAGTTGGCTTCAACATATTATTAGCTATCAACTTTCATAACAATATGTCTAACAATAAGTAATAACGTATTGTAAATTGTAATATTAATAATATTTGTAATATTTGTATAGTTTTAAAAATAATAAACACATATTTAATGTTTTGTAGGTATTACGTGTATACATTTTTTAAAATATTATTATTGCGTACGTGCTACATACATGGTGCTGGTGAAAATGATAGATTTGTAATCTTATTAGGTGCATCTTAACAAATGACGGATTTGTTATTACAATCAAGACTAAAATCCTGACGTATTAAGTGCATTGTCGTTTCTTAGTAATTAACAATGTTAATTTGTTTTGACAATACCGCCATTGCTATTATACCTTTCTAGAAATAAGAAAAGTATTTATTCTACGTAGGTTACATGATTTGCACAGCGTCAGAAAAGCTTAACCCACAAAAAATTGAATTTCAATACATTGCATTAAACATTTAAGAATAATACACCTAATATTTCGAAACCGAACTGTTCTCAACCTAAAAAGTTGATCCACTAAGTGGCAGTACTTAACTTTTTTCGGATTCGGCATTTAAACAATGGCATTTGAAAACTTATAATTGGCTATTTCTTGAAATAATGGTTGTGGGATAAGCTGGTGCTATGCGCCTTATGATTTAACATAATATCCCCTCGAGCGTTTAAGTCAATTTCTGGCTAAAAGTTAAAGCTGTAATTTTTTCTTATTCATTATTTCTCATTCAATGGTGTAGTACATAATATTTAGTTTTGGTTTAAGGATCATTTAATAAGCGTTTCATATTTGGTTGTGACTACCGTTAAACACCTTCGGGCTATGTATGCAGATTTGTTTTTCGGGGGAGGGTTAATGACGTGGATAGTAGTATACAGTAATACAGTCCGTTTGGTTTCTGGCAATATTTCGGGGGGCGACCCTAATTTGCAGGACGGCTTGTGTTTTGCGGCGTAAACAATATAAAATATCCAGTTCATTTTGATGTGGTTATAAAGTATTGACTGTAAAGTGATTTTATCCGTGTAGGCTAAAACTGGTACTTAAATACTAAAAACTTAAAAAGATAACTCTAAATAGATGTCTATAAAAATTTTGTCATGATTTGAATTTTTTTTTTAAGATTTAACGTTTTTATGTTAAAATATACAAAATCTGCCAAAAACACAGTTTTCCGGCAATTAAAAAAACCGGGTCCTGATTTTTTTCATCGTTTAATATGTTACGGATACATAGGAGTTCTGACTCCTGACAAATTTTCAACTAAAAGATCCCAAAATTACGGATAAAAAACTCAAAAAAAAAACGTGCATCTCCCCTAGGGGGGTGGGAAATGGGTTTAATTTAAATTTGAGATTATTGACGTACAGGAGCATACCAAATAAATACTCTTCTGAATTTCAACTCGATCCTACCCTTCTTTTCGAAATTATAGCCAGTAAAGGTTGAAACTTTAATACTAATATGGTTTTTTTTTGTTTTTCAAATTTTGACTGTGATGAAGTGAATTTTTTCAACTTTTACCCCCTCAAAGTACCAACTAGATAAAAATTTTGATTTATAGGATGGCTACTTGAAGGAATTGGTCCTATATTTAAAAAAGTTACAGTGTATACAGACAACAAAAAAAAACACATCATTGTAAAACAAATAGCATCACTGCTCCGCATCAAAGCTAAAAATACGTAGGTATTTGATTTTTTTGTGCGACCCGGCGTATAATTTTAGGAAATGTTTTACTTATAAAAGAGTTATGTGATCATCTCTGGACTGTTTCCATATTATATTATTATCGTTGTATTCAGTAGTTTGTCTACATAATCGAATATATCATTGTATTATTTTCTAGATTGTTTTTTTCATGTTTATTTTGTATGTATATATATTATACAATTTCCAGCTCGCAGGTTTGCGACACTTGGATAAACGAGCGTAGTCAGTACAAGAGAGTACGAAGGGACGGCAATAATGAATCGCACTTGCCGGGAACAGGTGGCCCTTTACAAGGGGTGGTTAGTTGTTGTAACGAAGGGTCGTCACCCTACGGGCAATACTGAATGGCAGGTCAATTTAATAGTCATTCGTATTTTGTTAGAGTATGTTAAATAAAAAAAAACCTCGTCCCTAAACTAAATGGTTTTTAGTTCGACACTAGAGCGGTAAAAAAAAAATTTGATTATTCTTGAATTGGATAAGCCGCGGTCTTTTTGTCTGCGACCATTCCGATCCATTTGAGATCTACAATCATTTTTATTATTTGCACATCATACGTGACGTTATGGAAACGTGTCACGGTCAGAAATGAACATTTATGTGTTGTACATATTACATGCAATCATATCATAGTTGTACAAAATTATTCGTATTTCGATCCAACTAAATTGAGTATAGTAACTTTACTTCAATAATGTATAGAATGTTTAGGTACAAGTAATAAGACATTTTTAGTATTTAGTTGGTATCAAAAATTGTTTGATAAATACAGTAAAATTATAGGTATTTGCAACGATAATATATTATATATAATATATTTTTTTTAATAGTTTTTGCAAAAATCCTATAGGTACTGTGCATCGTATTATAGAACACAAACAAGTATAAGAAGTATCGCTTTTAATGATAATTAATTAGGTTGTAACGTTATTGATATTATAGATTATTATTGGTCAACACGAATTTGATACAATTTCATCCTCAACTTCTTCAAAATTAAGGGAAAAAAAATCATCAACATAAAACAGACTTCTTCAAGTTTGACTTTAGACAGTTTTTAACACGTTAATTTTATAAGACAGTTAAAATAAATTTCAATCTATGAAATATCAACCTATGTGTACCTATGAAATATAATTTTCCCCTTCCTCTCATTTTCTTCTATTGATTTGGGGATCGCCTAACCTAGTTTTCAATCTTCATTCTATCCAATGTGTTCTCGTGGGTTTTGTTCCATATCACTTTAAACAATTATAAAGTGAATGCAGATAAGTTTCATTGGCGATTGCTTTATGCTTACAAACTTGTTTTAAAACAAACCGTCACGTGTACACTTTTGGTTGTTGTCACTTCGAGTTAAGCAGATTAGAATCTAGTTGTTTTGCTCTGCGTCACGTGTGTTTAATTTCAACCCTGTCCGGCTGTAAGTTGTGATGGTTTACTCGGTTGTGAGTTGTTGTGATTGGTTGTGAGAATGTTATGTATACGTGACAATCGTCAATGCGCATCTGTAGTGCTGTCAGTGTTCTATATTGCATAGTTTATGCGGATCGAGGTAGAGAGCTTATGCTATTGCGGCGGGACAGACACCGTCGGAGGCCACGACTTTTCGGGTGATTTGAACGCCGAACATCTGGTTCACGCCTTTGAAATTTGAATCGAATCCTGACGGATTAAACGCTTTGACCGCCGACCCGACATTGTACATTATCAGCAGCAGCTATATATATTTAGTACTCGTTATCGATCGGCCCGGATAAATCGACCGAACTCCTTTTCATACGTACACCACCCCTCCCCCCATGTGGGCTGCCAGAGCGTTTAACGAGTATCGTGTTGGGCAGCTAACATGTGTTGCGGCAGATGCACGACGCTTTTGTACCAACCACCACGAGTGCCTTTCTCCCCGGTCTTTTGCACTCGACGGGGGCGCGTTAATCAACCTTTTCCACACAACATATGGATCATTTTTGTGTTGCGCATATGCCGGCGTATAAGATCCGCGACGATGAAGTGTGATTGCATGTATATATATATATAGATATGTGTGTGTGTATAGTGTATACATTGTACGAAGCTGAGTCATTCGGGCCGGCATCGGACTAATCCACTTACGGGCGGGAGACGCTAATAATTATCGAATATTTATATTTTATCCGTCCACCGGTAGGGCGTGAATCGGGGCTAACTTATAAATGCGAATGGTATTCATATGCTCAGCCACACATATACAAACAATCTGTTTTCTTTCACGTGGCTTTTTACCGTCAAACGATCAACCCTCACGGTCAGTCAAACACACAAATCATTGATCTACCTGATTGGAATCCAGACGTCATTAATTAAATTTATGTACAGTTAACGACACGCGACGTTCAATGTTGTGTTGCATCGGATTGAATTCTTATAAACATAAAATGACAATTTGAATATTAAAATAAAAAAAGGTTTTCGTGTCTCAAATACAGTAGGCTGAACAATATGCGTAGGAGTCGCGTTGCTGCGGTAGTGAAGCGATTAAAAGGTTAAGATAAGAGCATAATATAGTGATTTGGGTGTCACACACAGCAAGACTATGATGTATATGAATAGGTATATCCGACGACGTTTGTTCGGTTCGTTACGCCCGACCAAATTCGATCAGTTTCCCGGCGGCGGCCGATTGAAATGCGATTGATTGATCGGCTACTGTGTAATTGGTATTTTGCCACCTGGGGAATCGAATCGTGCACTATGTATGTATGGCTGAGCAGTAGCGTGTGATCTGTCCTGGAGCCACAATTATTGATGATTGCCCGCTGAAACTCTGCACGGTATGTACGACGGTATTATATACCTCTTCCCCCGGGGACGCCGCCCGAGAAGTCTTAGCTGTCGCAATAAGTCCGTCCCCGTTTGCCTAGCCCATTCATTTTTCTCGTCCCATTTGAAAATCTTTTTTTTTTCCTTCCCGCCTCCGCCGCACCGTGTAATCCGTTCGTGTGTTGAAATCGAATCGAAAACTTCTGACGTTTTGGTTGTTCTTTCATTTTGGTCTGTTGACTTTTGCGCCGTTTCCCTCCTCAGTAGTCGATTACAACGCAATTTGTTCACGCACAAAAAAAAAGGAAAAATACGAAAAATCGTCTCTGTTACACCACTAGACAGCAGTACAGTGATTTGCGAAATCCGGTGCCCCAGCTGCGGGTCTCCATCATCGTCGCTCCACCGGACCGGTCACAAACACAACTCCGTCTCATTTGACTAACCGACTCGACAAATGATTCAGCGAATCCTGATCGGATTTCGACGCTCATTTAATTCACTCAA